AATCTTCTTCTTGCACCGTGCATTCCAAATTTTTTTGGGTTTCGCACTGTGCGGGGAAATATTGCTGCGACATAAGCAAAAAACAAGCGCACAGTGCAATGTGAGCTTTTGTTTTCGCACAGTGAGTGTCGCCTTTTTTTTGGCGTTTGCACTGTGCGAAAAAGTCAGGATGCGAGCGACAGCTCAAAAAAGACCATTGCACGGTGCAAAATGCCCCTTAGTTTTTGCATAGTGCATGTCGCTGAAATCAGACATGGCTCGTCGGCCGGCCCGGGCCAAAAATCTCGGCCCGGCCCGTCGGCCTGAAGGGTTCCGGCCGGCCCGGCCCGTTTCAAATTTTCCGTCGGCCCGGCCCGGCCCGTTCTAAATTTGCTTCGGCCCGGCCCGGGCCGGCCCATTGAAACGAAAGTTTCCCCAAGTCTAACACCTTATGACCAAATTTTTTTCTATCATCATGTAAATGGATAAATACTGTGTTCCATAGTTACCTAAAAACAAAAATACCTTTAAAAAACCAATTGAGTCATGACATTTCGTTTATTTTCATTATCAAACCCAATTTTCGCTTCGAGATTCTGGATTTTAACTATTTCGGGCCGGAGCCATGTCTAGCTGAAATCACTTCAGCGACTTTGCGAATGGACTGGTAAAATACGAGGTCATAGTTAGGGTGGTCGGAGGAAAAACGGGGTGGTAAGAGAGGACCAGGGTAAAAGTTTCAATTTTTTCCTGTAAGATGATTTTTTCGAAAAATTTTGACATATGGCCATAGTTCAAACAATTTTTAGGCGCTCATTTTTACAATTACTAACGTAAGATTGATTTTTGAGATCAATAATTAAAGAGCAAACTCGAGGTATTCAACAAATATATCCCGAGGAGATCGTACGAGAAGGTAGAGAGCGGTCAGAGAAAAGTTTTTTTGGCCATATTTTTGCCAATTTCGAGTGGAAAAATAACTCGAATGAAAATATTCATGCGAAAATTTGCAAAAACAAAAAATTCTCAAATTTTTGCAGATTTTGACCAAAAAATAATTGTAAAAAAACAATTGTTTGTAACGCGCAAGCTCAAATCTCGAATTTTCTAAGAAAAAATTTTATCTAAATTTGTCAAACTTTCATCGAAATATGGGCCTCGAATTCTGATGACTTCTGCTGTTGGCTTTAAACTTCAAAACGAAGCCGAGAAGATATCAAAAAACTCCTTTTATGGTGACAAAACCCCTTTATTGACCCATTAATTAATTCCAACTCAAATTCCAACCCACACACCACCCGAAACCCACACTTTCCACGCCCAATCCTCCCTCAAGCCCACACCGGCGGAATTGGAATTTGCCGAAAAAACGGTCCGAAATAATTTCGCCGTCCGACCTCCGCGGACATCCAACGCTAATAATGAAACCCTTTTGATGTCGCCCTCACCCATTGTGTCCTCAACAAAAAGCCGCCGAATGTTTTTGGCCCCCTGAAAACGGCTTCCGGAATCTTTTGTCTTCTTCTTAAATTCGGTCCGCGGGCTCGGCTTAAACAACGGAGAACAATTTAAAACCACGGAAAGTCGTTTTTTCTTCGTATTTCGGCCGCAGGCCAATTGGTCAGACGGAGGGATATGAGCGGTCAAAAAATCGAAAAATTTCAAGTTTTGAAACGAAAAAGGGCTTTGAAATTTTTTGCACAGTGCAAATTTTTTTTAATTTTCTTGCACAGTGCGACACGACAAGAAAAAGAATTTGCTTTGCACAGTGCAACTTGATGACAAAAGAAATTTTTTTTGCACTGTGCAAATTTTTTAAAACCTTTTTTTGCACTGTGCGCCGCAATGAGAAATGGAAATTTTTCTGCACAGTGCAAAAAAAATAAATTTTTTTTGTTTTCGCACGGTGCAAAAAAAAATAAAATTTTCTTTTTCCGCACGGTGCAAAAAAAATAAAATTTTTTGTTTTCGCACGGTGCAAAAAATAAATTATAAAGTTGCACAGTGCGGATAAGAAAAGAAAAGCAGATTTTTTTGCACAGTGCGAATTAGAAAAGAAAAATTTTGTGCACGGTGCAAACAATTTGGTTTTTTTTTGTTTTCGCACTGTGCAAAAAAAATAAAAAATTCGCACAGTGCATTTTGGACACTAATTAAATTTCGCACAGTGCAAAAAAAAATAAATAAAATTTTCAATTTTCGCACCGTGCAAGTTTTTCATTTCCTCCTCCGCACTGTGCAACGCTCCGGAAAAGTCAAATTTCTTCCGTAAAGACGGAGAGATGATTCATTAACTCGAAGGAAAATGCAAGAATATAGATAAATATTCATTTGGCCATATGTCTTTTTGCGGAAGAAGAAAGGAGAAATATGGAATAATAAAATTAGAGGAATTGTATGCAGATGACATCATCCAAATTTTTTACGGATGTATTTTACAAAAAAAAGATTAGTACTTTTTTGCACAAAAACTACTTCAGGATTAATTTCGAAGAGTAAAAATAGGTGTTTTGGGGAAAAAGTTTTGGCCAAAAAAGGCTTTGGCCAGGTAATTGCTTGGCCATGTCTTCCGGGGCCCGAAAATCGAGGGCGAAAATTTTTTGGAGGGAATGGAAAAAGCTTTATGAAAAATAATGTTTTCGCGGAGAAATCGTGAAATATCATGGTAAATTGGGATAAAATTCGAATAAAGTAATATAAAAAGACTCTGTCACTTCGAAAATCGCATTACCGCCGAGAAAATGAATCGTGTCGCGGTAAAAATCAATTTTTTTTACTTCAGCGACATGAGCGACAAAGTGTTCATTATTTTCCCGACAGTACAACTACAAACAACAAATTGGCGAAAAAATTGAAAAACTAAGCGACATGAGCGACAAAGTGCCCATTATTTTCCCGACAGTACAACTACAAACAATAAATTGGCGGAAAAATTGAAAAAACCATTATTTTCCCGACAGATGAAAGTAGAGCAACAAAAATCCCTAGGAACGTTTCGCGGCCCTGAATTCTGCTTAGACCGCGAAGTTGTGCGAGGTAATGCAAAAACCGCGGAATTGCACTGTGCAAAACCACTTTTTCGGCCGGATGCACGGTGCAAGATGGATTTTTTTCCAGAGCGACGCACTTATCGCAAAAAATGCACAGTGCAAAGTTGCGTAAAACTCTCAGGACTCTTTGCCATGCGTAGTTCTGTAACTTGGAATGTACTTACCTGAGAAGCAAGCTCAGATTTTACAGGGGAAGTACTCCAAGTGCGACGCTCAGATTTTGATGAAACTTGGCACAAATTTAGAATTATTTTTTCTAAGATATATGCGAGAATCTCAGCTCGCGCTTTGCAGAAACAATCGAGATTTTTTGATCGAAAGTCGGCGAAAATTTAGGATTTTCTGCGGAATTTCGGTACGAAAAGTTTCATGCCTATTTCTACCGTAAAGAGTAATGTTTCTACAAAAAATCAAATTTTTCCGCGCGAAACTGCCAAAGTTATGGCCAAAAAGCGCTTTTCTCTCTGACCGCTCTCCACGTTTAGCGTGCTCTTTCGGCGGCAAAAATCGTTCGATTTCTCGGCGACGCCCGCAAAGGCCGAGCTAAAACTTTCAGGAATTGATGTTTAGTCCATACCCGACGTGTGTGCAAAATTTAAAGAAAATCTGAGCGTCGCACTTGGAGTACTTCCCCTGTTTGGATTTTCTGCGACTCTTTTTATGAGATAATTCGAGAGACCCATTTTGCACAGTGCGACCGACCAAAAAAGTGAGCTGCACAGTGCAATTTTCTATTTTTTGCACTTTGTCGCACGCGATTCCCGTTTTTGGTAGCGCCAAATCAAATATCAGAGTGCGACAGAATTTGGGGCGCGTGAAAATTCAGGACTTTTTACCGTGGCCATAATATAAAAAATAATTTTTTCGGTTCTCTGCGATGTTCTATACAGAGATCTACAGAGATTTACCAGCAATTTGCCGCAATTCCCCCTCAAATTCTCCGTATTCCACCGCTCCTTCGGTAAGAGCCGATTTTCCGGCCCATCAGAGCCGTCGTTTCCCCAAAACCGATCCATCACGCGCACGCCCTTTGTGTTGTGGCCTTGGACCGAAAGTGAAGAGATTCGAAGGAACGAAAAAAATTGTTTTTTTTTGCCGCGAAGCCATATAAATTGAATATTCAAAAAAAAAACACAACACAGGTGGAGACCAAAAACAAGCCAATTAAAATGGAGCGGTCTTTGGGAAACAGATTAATCTCAGATGGGAAATTGGGGGGTTCGAAGGACAAGATAGCCAAAAATGGAAAGTGCTGAGGGGAGTACAGTAATGACGGAGGTGAAAAAATGCACTCTTTGGAGACTTGAAGTGCTTACGAATGGTTTTTAGAACGAAAAATATCATACTAGTCGCGGAAAAAAGTCCTGGGAATTTTCTGCGACTCTGCACTGTGCATGAACCCGAAAAGTGCATTTGCACAGTGCAATTTTGTTGATTTTGGCTTATTGTCGCGCGCGATTCCCGCGACAAATCGACTTTTCGGAGCGCGACGGAATTTGGGGGGCGCGAGAAATTCCCAGGACTTTTTTCCGCGACTAGTACAGGCCTCTGTTTAGCTATAAGATCATAAAATTTGTTTGCTATAGTAATATCTCGTTGTACGAAGGTTGATTTTGGCTTGATGTAAACTCTGAAAAGCGCTCAAATTGGCCACTTTATAGAGGCTTTATTATCCGAAAGTTTGTTGTAAAAGGGTTGTTTCATAAGCTGTAAACTGATATACAATATGCCATCGGTACGATATCCTGATCTTTTTAAAACTTTGCCAAAGTCATCTCGGTGATGTAGTATCTTAAAGGGCCTGTACAGCTACTTTGAAAAGCGGTTTTCTCGGCTTGGGGTGGCGTTCTGATATAACGTTTGTTATCGTGGCGGGACGCATCGACAAACTCGGTGCGACCTTTTTTGATCCAAGGTGAAGAATGTTATGCGTATAACGTACGTTATTCAGCGTAATATGGCGCCAATTTGATGTTTTTGCGTGGAGAATGGGTAAGTTGTTGTTTGGAAAATTTTTTGAGTTGATTTTTAGGCATTTTTTGATGTTAAGGATGCTTTATGAAGCCTTTGGGGTAAATTAAAAGGTAAAATATGTTTTATGAGGTGGAAGGAGGTTAAACTTGTCCTAGAAGGTTTTATTTGTGAGTGGGCGAAGTTATTTTGAAGCACTCTACATTGGTTTTGACAGATAGATGGATTTTTGATATTATTTTAGGTAGAAATAAGTGGAAAATGCGTCGCAATGTTGCGTGTACGCCTTTTCGTCCACAATTATGTTTTATAGACCTGTAAAGTTATTCGGGGCTTTTGTTTACTGTATTTTGTTGCATTTGACTTTCATTTTCACATTATATTATTCATGTTTGCCTCTGTTTTCCAGGTGGAATCCCCGTGGCCCGAACATAAACCGTCGTCTCTGAAGAAGGAAATCGAGGTGCTGAATGGATCAGAACCGCTGTGGATTCAAGCAAAATTGGGTAGAACAGGCAATCGAGGAGATGCTGCCATTTTCTGTATTATGTTGTCTTTTTCGAGGGATTTCAACAATAAACTATTCACGTTTAATAGGAAGGTTATAAACAAGAAAGGTAACAAAAACAGCAGTCGTTGAAGCGGTGTTCTTAGCGGATTTCACGGCTGTTGGGATCGTCGACTATTTTAATAGTTGATCGTTTGCACTTCTGAAATGGCATGTGTAATATAAATTTACCTCAAAAAAGGTATTTATGCTCGTTCAAACCTCTCACGAAGTCCCTAAAAGCCAAAGAAAAATAATCTCAAATGAACTTACAATTGGAGCAATGCGCTGTTCGGCTTTCATATTCCATTTTCCCCGCTGTCGTTGTTCAAGGCAACGAGATATTTGGAGAGCTTTCTGGTTAGCATCCTCGTTGGCCTGACGCGTCTTTAACTCGTGCTTAGTCTGCTGTTGCCCAGACTTTTACTTATCATGAGTGAGCTTTGGTTTGTTCTCTTCCGCACCAAAGTTTTTACCTAAAATAATACAAACATTCATCAATCTGTCAAAAAAATGTAGAGTGCTTCAAAATAACTTCACCCACTTACAAACAAAACCTTCTAAAACAACTTTACCATCCTCCCACCTCATAAAACCTATTTTTAACTTATAATTTTTCCCAAAGGCTTCAAGAACCATCTCCAACATCAAAAATGTCTAAAAATCTACCCAAAAATATTCCAAAACAACAACTTACCCATTCTCCACACAAAAACAACAAATTGGCGCCATATTACGCTGAACAATGTACGTTATACACCTAATATTCTTCATCTTGGATCCAAAAAATCGCACCGAGTTTGTCAGTGCGTCCCGCCACGAAAACAAACGATATATCAGAAAGCCACCCCAAGCCGAGAAAATCGCTTTTCAAAGTAGCTGTACAGGCCCTTTAATATCAGTCTGTCGGGAAAATAACGGCGACTTGTCGCAGCAAAATGTCTTGTTGAAAAAACAGTGCAACTCCCCAGCTGCAGCTTCCCGCCGCAAAGCAATGATGACCGATTACCAGGCGCAATTCCCGTCATTATTTTCCCGACAGACTCATAAAAAGCATGGACATTTTTCCCTCAGCGCACATTGCATTTTGAACGCTTTCCCGCGCTTGTCGCCACCGCACAGTGCATTTTTCTCTTTTCGCACAGTGCAAACCTCAAAACAGCCGTTTGCACTGTGCAAATTCCTAGCGCCACTCGTCGCACAGTGCGAAGAACAAAAAAAGAAAAGAAAAATTGCACGGTGCAAAATGGGGCTTTATGCACGGTGCAGACCACGACAAACGTCTATGGACTCTATAAAAATACTGATATCAGTCTGTCGGGAAAATAATGAGCACTCTGTCGCATCGAAAGTCGCATCGCTGCCGAGAAAATGAATTGCGTCGCGGTGAAAATAAAATTGCTTTTCACTTCAGCAACGCGGCGGCACAGCGACATTGTGCTCATTATTTTCCCGACAGACTGATACTGGTCGATTCCATACAGTGCGGAGATGTTTTTCCGCATTTTGTGGCATGACTAGCTGACAATGCAAAAAGAAACAAAGTGCAGTGTGCGCCGTGGCGAAAAGTCTACGCACTTTGTGAAACGACCACTATGCTCCTAGCTCCTACAAAAAGAGGTAGGAGAAATGATTTTCATCTGAGCGTCGCATATGGGAAGATTTTTTGCGAAGACATGGACCAGTGTCACTGAAGGAGGCCAGTAAATTTTTCGCCCCCCAAAATACGTCCAAACCCCGCTCGAAACCGCCACGGCGCTTAAAGCGAAATTTCAAGCGGAAAAAACGAAATGAAGCGGCCGCGCGCGCAGAGTGCCCGAAATTTGTGCGAAACCGGCGGGTTTTTCCCAATGAAATCCCTGGTCGGTCCTCGAGACGGGGGGCGCCAAAACTCCCCTTTTTTCGGGTTCGGATACGCGCCCTTAATGGGGAACTCGGATAAATATTTGGGCCCGATAATAAAGAGGTTTGGGTGCGGAACTTCGAACATGAAAACAAACAACGTGGGAAACGAGTTTGATCGGAAAATTGGATGATAACAAGATTACAAAATTGGAAAATAAGAAAATTACAACTATTTTTAATACGCTATTATAACATAAACCTTCAATTCTTTCCAGGATGGCCGAAACATGGCGTTCGAAGCGAGCGAAGAGCGGCAATTCCTCAACAACAACCAACAACTCTACATTGACTCGGCGCAGTTGGACGACGCCGGCGTTTACACCTGTATCGGGGAGAACGAAGCCGGCAAAGCCACCAAGAACATTGTCATCACCATGCTGGACGCGCCCGTGGTGGTTGTGCCGTATCAGGATGTGGAGGCGAGGGAGAACGAGACGATCACGTTGACCTGCCCTGTTAATGATCCCAGCTTGTATCGGATGACTTGGCTGAAGGACGACGCGGTCGTAACGAACAGCCCGACGATTCAGGTGAGTGTGGGGAGTGGTGAACGATGTTGATATTGTCCAGACATGGCAAGGGCCGGATCGGCATATAAAGTTCGAACGGGCTTCGGAAATTTCGGGAAAGGGGCCGGGCCGAGCTTTTCTGTGGCTGTGCCGAGCTTTTCTGGGGCCCTGGGCATGGCCTATCTTTGTGGCGCCGAGCCGAGCCTTTCTGGAGACGGTTCGAGCTTTTTTCGAGCCGGACTGAAGTTTTGTGAGGCTGACCATGCGTTTCTGGGGCTGAGGACTCGATCTAACTTTTCAGGGCCGGGCCAAGATTTTCTGGGGCCGAGCCGAGCTTTTCTGGGGCCGGGGACTCGATATATTTTTTGGGAGGCCGGGCTGAGTTTTTCTCGAGACTGCACGAGCTTTTTTGATGCCGGACCGAAGTTTTTTGGGGCTGACCATGGCTTTTCTGGTACCAGAGGCTCGATCAAATTTTCTTGGGCCGGGCCAGCTTTTCGGCGTCGCGACACTTGCGGGCAACCACTTTGCGGGCAACCAGTTTGCGGGCAATTTTTTTGCGGGCAGCCACTTTGCGGGCAAAATTTGTGGGGTCACATTTGCGGGCAGCTGAAACATTTGCGGGCAGCTGAGACACTTGCGGGCAGCCTGGGACACTTGCGGGCAACCGACACTTGCGGGCAGCCGACATTTGCGGGCAACCGGCACCTGAGGGTTACAGGGTGGAGGTGGAAATATTACTGCAATATTTTGAAAATTTGCCGACATTTGCGGGCAGCCGACACTTGCGGGCAACCGACATTTGCGGGCAACAGGAAAAAACAATCACACAGGTTGTATTGGAACTTTTAGAACTGTTGTCCGCAAATGTCGGCTGCCCGCAAGTGTCGGTTGCCCGCAAATGTCGGAAAACTTCCAAAATATGGCACTAATTTTTCCACCTCCACCTTGTAACCCTCAGGTGCCGGTTGCCCGCAAATGTCGGCTGCCCGCAAGTGTCGGTTGCCCGCAAGTGTCGGCTGCCCGCAAATGTCGGCAAATTTCCAAAATATCACAGTAATTTTTCCACGTCCACCCTGTTACCTCCATAATCAGGTGTCGGTTGCCCGCAAATGTCGGCTGCCCGCAAATCTTCCAGGCTGCCCGCAACTGTCGACCCTGCCCGCAAATGTCCCAGGCTGCCCGCAAATGCCGGTGCTGCCCGCAAATGTCGGCTGCCCGCAAAGTGGCTGCCCGCAAAAAATTTGCCCGCAAACTGGTTGCCCGCAAAGTGGTTGCCCGCAAGCGTGCGCCCGCCCAGCTTTTCTGGGGCCGGGACCTTGGCCCGATCAAATTTTTTGAGGCCGGGCTGGCTCTGAAAATCCTCACAACTCTTAGAGCGGGGCCATAGGCCCCACTGACCAAGGGCCGGCCAGACATTCACGGGGGCTAGGCCGGGAGCCCCTAAATGCCAAAAGCCGGCCCCGGAAGCCATATATGGCTTGTCTTTTTACCACAGGCACATACCAAAACAGATGTCATCCTGACACGTTTTCTGGATACACAAAGATTTTTTGATTTTCAACTTCCGAGGCTATATCTCATTTCAGGTGTCCGAGAGCGGCTACACGCTGCACTTCTCGAAGGTGTCCGCACGAAACGCCGGCGAATACATTTGCGAGGTCGCGAACGACGCCGGCGAGACCAAGGCCACCCTGAACCTGGCCGTCCTCACCACTCCGCACATTCAACAGCCCGCGCCCGCGATGCGCAATGTCGCAATTCGCCTGGAAGAGCGACTTTCGTTGAACTGCAACGCGGATGGAGAGCCGAAGCCGGAGATATCGTGGCTTTTTGATGGTCAGCCCATTGCGTCGGGGGAGTTGTTGGTGGAAAAAACAATAGCAAACGTGGAGAATGGGCATTTGGTTGTGCAGAATGTCAGCACGTTGCATGAGGGCCGCTACACGTGTGTGGCGCAGAACAAGGCCGGTCGGACCGAAGCCGACGTCTTCGTGGAGGTGGTGGTGCCGCCACGCCTCGAGCTCCCCAACGAAGTCGTCAAGGTGGTGCAGAACAAGAACCTGACGATCAAAGCGCGGCTGTTGCAAGGCACCGAGCCGCTGGAGGTGAGCTGGAAGAAGGGCGGCCTCGAACTGGCGACTGTGACCGAGCCCATGGACGGAGGAGTGTTTTATGTGATCCGGCTGGTGGAGGTGAAGCCCAGCGACGGCGGACAGTACACGGTGACGGTGCAGAATAAAGGGGGAATGGTCAAGGAGAAGATTCGAGTGGAGGTGTTGAGTAAGTGCGATACTTTGTACAAGGAAATGCGAAAAGAGCGATGGCTTTCTCGAAATATTCAATTCAATTTATTCACACTAATCACATGTAAAATCATGGAGTGTATCAGTCGGGATTCCATTGTCTGGTCAGTATAATAAAGAAATCGCTCAAAAAATCTGGATCTCCCCAATTTCCGACCTAAAAATCTCGATTTTTTCTGCCCAGATCCAGTGACAAAAAACGTGGCGTTTTGCATCCGGGAAGCATCAAAAAATGTAGCAAAATACCTCCCTCTCCAAGTGAAAAAACTTCGATTTCAAAAGCCCGCCCACTCTTTTTGTGAGGACCCTTCAAAATGGAGTTTTTTTAGTTGGAAAGGGAGGTATTTGCCAGATTTTTTGATACTTCCCGGACGCAAAATGGTACGGTTTTTGCCACTGGATCAGGTACGCTACTGGAGATGGCGCTTTGCAAATGAAACGAGATTTTGTTTTTTAATTGGAGAGGGGAGCATTTTGCCACATTTTTTGGTATCAAAAACGTACCACATTGCATCCGGGAAGTATCAAAAATGTGTCAAAATGCCTCCCTTTCCAGTTTGCCCCAAATTTGATTACAATAAAAGCGTTGCACTTTGAGCGCCTCCTTTACAATTTTCAACCTCACTTTTCAGCTCCTCCAATAATCACCCCCGGCGAACGAGTCTTCAAAGTGGTCGAGCGCACCGACTTGACCCTCGAATGCCTCGCCGAGGGCTCGCCCAGCCCCAAAATCAAGTGGTATCAAAATGGCAAAGGTCTGAATCGAACGCACCCCAAACTCGAGCTGAAAGACGTTACAACGGAAAACGAAGGCCGCTACACTTGCGAGGCCCTGAACGACGCCGGCTCCGTGTCCACGGAATTCGCGGTCGAAGTGTATGTTCGGCCGAAGATTTTGGAGTACGAAAAAGTCATAAAAGCCATCGATGGGAGCAAGGTTCGGCTGGAGTGCAAGTTCACTGGGAATCCGGAGCCGACCGTGAAGTAGGTTGGAGGTTACGTACAACAAAACGCTTTTATAATAACCCGTTCGCAAAGCGCGGAAGTGATTTTAGCGACATGCACTGTGCAAAAACAAAAGTTGACTGTCGCTGTGAAACTTCTTGCTTTTTCCACCGTGCAATATGCTTTTTTGGGCTGTCGCTCGGCTGGGTTTTTCTGCACGATGCAAACGCCAAATACCGCTCCCGCGACTTTAAACGGACTACTACGCCTTTTCAAAAGCGAGTCGACTTTTTCCGCGGCGCATGGTGCATTTTGCCAAGATTTGCAATTGTGCAATCTGTCGCGAGCGAAAAATTCACGGCAATTTTTCAATTGCACGGTGCAAAAGATGAAATGCTCAGTGCGGAAAGCTTGTAACAAGAAGTTTACGCACTTTTGAAAAACGGCATAGTAGTACCACCCGAGGGTAAAAGTTCTGATAATTTTTCACAGTGCGGTTCTTCAACATCAACGTAGCAGTCGGTCGGGAAAAATAAGCGCAATGTGCGCCGATTGTGTCGCTGAAATGGAACGCAATTTGATTTTGTCGCGACACAATTCATTTTTTCGGCAGCGATGCGACAGACTGCTCATTATTTTCCCGACAGACATACGTGTATTCAATCTGTATGATGTTGCTTTAAAATCTGAGCATCGCACTTCAAACACCTCTCTTTTTCATTTGTCAAACGAAAAAGCGTCGTATTTTACAACACCATACTGTATACATACCTCACTAAATTTTCAGATGGATGCGAAGCGGCCGTCCCATCACCAACGCCCCGAACATCATCCTGTCGCCGCGCGGCGAGACTCTGCTCATCCCCAAGGCGAAGGCAACGGACGCCGGCGACTACTCGTGCGTCGTGTCGAACAAGGCGGGCCAAGCCGAGGCGCCGTTCAGCGTCCTCATCCAGACCGCGCCCCACATCGACGACGCCATCGACCAGAACCCCACCGTCGTGGAGGGCGCGCAGTTGACGCTGGAATGCCCGGTTCAAGGGTCGCCCGATCCGCTGGTCACGTGGCGTTTCCTCGACAACGATATTAGCCCGTCCGCGACGGAGGCGTATGTGGTGGAAGGGACGAATTTGAAGGTGGTGAATGCGACCGTAGGCCAAGCCGGACGATATACGTGTTGGGCGAGGAACGAGATCGGGGAGTTGGAGACGAATTATGAGCTGGAAGTGATTGGTGAGTATGCCAATACAGTCAACAAACTTAATTTCAGCCGCACCTCGATTCGGAAACGCCGTCAACAAGAGCTACACGGTGATCGAAGGTGACTCCTTGGACATCGTCTGTCCAGTGGAAGCGAATCCAACCCCAACGATTGAGTGGCTTCGCAATGGAGTGGACATTGATTTCTCATCTTCTAAGTTCCATGTCTCGCCGAATGCAAAGGTAAAATACGAAAGGATTGAGGCGTTCTGTTCAAGACTTTTTTGCCAAAATTCGCAAAAAAATTTCCCTTCTTCCCCAACTTTCGGGCTAAAAATCTCGGTCGTTTCTACGAAATGAGAGCGGGAAATCTCACATATGTCTTATCAGTCTGTCGGGAAAATAACGGCGGATTGTCGCAGCAAAATGCCTCGCCTCGCCGCTATCGCGCACCAAATCCCCAGCCGCGGCTTTCAGTCGCAGAGCGATGATGGGCGATTCCAAGGCGCGACGATCCGCCGTTATTTTCCCGACAGACTGATATAAAAATAGCTCTAAATTAGCGTTAAATTTCATCAAAGTCTGAGCGTTGCACTTGAACCACCTCCCCATAAAAATACGCCAAGTTTCTTCAGGATATCAATCAGTCTGTCTGCAAAATAATGAGCCCCTCTTTCGCTGCGTCAATCGTGTAGCTGAAGTGAAATGCAATTTGATTTTGCGACACAATTCATTTCCTCCGCGGCGCTGCGATTTTCGCTGCAACGGAGTGCTCATTATTTTCTCGACAAACTGAAGACTAAATCGTTCTCCTTGCAGAAGCTGAAGCTCACCAACGCCACGCTGTCGGACGCCGGCAAGTACGTGTGTCGCGCCTCCAACGTGGCCGGCTCCAACGACATCGACCTGAGCGTGCGCGTCATCGTGCCGCCGCGCATCGACGAGTCGAACGTGATCCGCAACCCGCTCGCGGTTCTGGGTCGCTCCATCTACCTGGAGTGTCCGGCCACCGCCATCCCGCAGCCCATGATCATGTGGCTGAAGGACGGGCGACCGGTGGATTACGGGGAGAAGATCAGCGACGGGAAGACGTTGAAGTTCTCGCTACAACAGGGGAATCAGACGTTCGGAATCCGAGAAGTGGAGCATTCGGATCGCGGAGCGTACACTTGTTTCGTTCAGAATCAAGGGGGAAGTGCGAGTGAGGACTTCGAAGTGGATGTGTTGAGTAAGTGTTTGAAAAAAAATAAAAAAAAAAATAAAAAATCAGTCAAATCTTTGTTAGTGTTACCCTGTCGGGAAAATAATGTGGATTTGTCGCAGCGAAATTTCTGGCATCGCCGCAATCTCGCGCCAAATTTGCCGTCGCAAAGCAATGATGGGCGATTTCAAAGTGCGACAAATCCACATTATTTTCCCGACAGACTGATACGAAAACACTTTACCCTCCAAAAAATGTCCATGAACTTTATGAAAATATGAAATATCAGTCTGTCTGGAAAATAATGTGGATTTTTTAAGGAACGACAAATCCACATTATTTTCCCGACAGTCTGATACGAAAACACTTTACTTTCCAAAAAAATGTCCATGAACTTTATGAAAATATAAAATATCGGTCAGTCTGAAAAATAATGTGGATTTTTCAACACACGACAAATCCACATTATTTTCCCGACAATTGATATTTCACATTTTCATAAAGTGCATGGACATTTTTTGTTGCCCGCACAAAGGCTTTATTGTAGCGAGGTTAACTTTGCCTTTCAGTTCCACCGGTTATGGACAAAGACGTGGCCACCACTCCACAGCTGATTACAAAACGAGAAAACGAGTCGGTTGTGTTGACATGCCCCGTGAAGACAAGTGTTCTCAAGAACGATGTGAACGACCTGTCCATCAGTTGGACGCAGGACGGGCGACCGGTCGATGTGACTTCGAAGAACGTGGAGGTAAGCGTTGTAGAAAATTCCCAAGATATTACAAGGTGTACCAAAAAAATGGAAACTTGTTTTCATAGCTATATTTTTTTGGAGAATCAAAATTCAGCGAAAGTAACGGTCATCATCAGAAATATGAAAGAAGCGGTGGCGGTGCGTTTTCCTTCACTTCCTGAGCGCTTACTATCCGTATCAAGCTCCTTGCGCCGTGTGATTGCTTTCAACACAACGTTCTTTCTGTACCGAGCAAATTAACTGTTCGAACAGCTTCAAAAACAAGTCCAAAATCGAGGTCCCTTCGTTTGAAGTTCAAAAAACACAGGTGGATTAATCGATATATGGATGGTGATTTATAAATTTTTGGTTTCAGTCCAGCCGAAAGTGCAGAATTCAGTCCACGGAGGCACTTTGGACTGAAATCGTCAAATCTTGTCCATCCGCCGGACAAAACTCAACTGGTCCGCCGCTCGGACTAAGTTTGCAAAAATTAGTCCATCGTTTTTCGTTTGCGTGGATTTTTTTGAGTTGTCCGCGGTTCGGACAATTTAAAAAGTCCAAGGCGCGGACTGAATCCGCCGACTTTGGTCCAAAGTGCCTCCGCGGACTGAATTCGGCGAATTTGGTCCAAAGGGCGGACTCAATTCGCCGAAATTGGTCCAAAGCGCGGACTAAATTCGGCGAAATTGGTCTATTGCGCACAGAATTTTAAAATTTACTTTTCTCAGTTTTAGGGATTTACCTTGTAATCAGTAAAAATCTTTTAAACGAATAAAGTAACAATCGTATAAACGAATAGTAAATCTTTCCATAAAAAGCAAATTTTTTATTTACAACATACGGTTTATCAAATAAAGCTACTAAAAAGGTGTATCCTTCTTCTTTCTTCTTTACTGTTTCTTTTGGTTGGAGTTCTTAGAGATCGACGACTTGACAGTGATTCAACTTGAGGTTGCAGCGACGGTAGGGGTGGACACTTGGTTAAAATCTTCCCGTTCTCTGGTGTTGATTTGGACGAAGGCTGCTGAAGAATTTCTCCGATCTTTCCACATTGTACAGGTGGGCGGACAATCAAGGTGGTTGAATAACCCGACGACACTCTAGATTCTCCATGAACGACGACCCAAAACCTTCACCAAGGACGAACACGCTCCAAAACTTCGACGTTCAGCTTCTGTTTGGGCAGGGGTGAACACAAGATAAAGTCTGAAAAGAGAAAAGTTGAGGAAAATAATGCTCTGAGTAAAATTCGACCTAAAACAATGTCCAGAAATTATAGAAAAACTAAAATAATTTCCAAAAAAGAACAAGAATCGTAAAAAAAAACAAAATGCAGCCGAGAGAAGCGCAAATCCGAAACGATCGGAATGCCATTTTCGCGGCGGAACCAAGATCATGGGAAAATGCGCCATTTTTTCGGGTTTTTTTGGTAAACAAGTTGCGAAATTCGTCGTAAACGTTGCTGGATGTTCAAACAAAGAGCGCACTTGGATTGGATTTGGAAAGAAGGGCATCAAGTTGAACTCAATGCTGCGAGAGTTAAGAAAGCATAACTCCATTAGCAATGTCAGCTTGCTATGTGAACCGAGATGTGAGTTTTTCCGCATATTTTTTTTATCAATTTAGGTCGTTCCATTCGCCCTGGAGTCGTCCTTTGGCAAAACGGCGATTTAATCGCTTCACACCAACAGCTTGGTCCGACTCAGTGGTGAAACCATCGAGATGATCAGCTGGTCGGTCGTCGTCCCTATTGCAAGAATGGAGAATCCCAACTTCGAACTACGAGATCTAGTAGAATAATACACTAACATCCTTTGTTACAGTTATGCTTTTATCAGTTGATAAATCAGTTATTCATCCTCCGGAATCTATAAATCTCGTTTGAATTCGACGTTATACATAATTTATCTTAATTTATCGATGGACAAAAAAAAACATAAAAAATCCAATGCCATCCCCTAAAACATAAAAACGAAAGCACTGGACAAGATTTGGCGAATTTGGTCCGAGGGGCGGACTGAATCCGCCGATTTTCGTCCGAGCGTCCGATAATAAAAATTATCAGGCCCGCGGATCAAAAACCGGCGGATTTAGTCCGCCCGCCAAGACCAAAATCCCCGAATCTGGTCCGTTCTCTGGACAAAAAAAAGTTGTCCAATCCCTGGACTAAATTTGTTGATTTTCGTCCAGCGAACGGACAAAGTTTGCAAATCTTGCGCCGAAATGGACAAGATTTGACGATTTCAGTCCAAAGTGCCTCCGTGGACTGAATTCTGCACTTTCGGCTGGACTGAAACCAAAAATTTATAAATCACCATCCATATATGGGCGTAAAAATCAAACCACTAGGACAGAAAAACACAGAGAATGTTGCTGTAATAAACTTCTTTGGCTACACCTACCCAGTTTTGCGTCAGGGCCCATGAAAAAAGTTTCCATTTTTTGGTACACCCTGTATTAGGTCGTCCAGAAAGTTCGTTCGTTTCTTTTGATTGCTTTGTTTTACAAGGATTGTTTGTTCTTTGGCAAAGGGAATATACTTATTTCATACACCTTTTTCTCCGCTACAAAACCGCATATTTGGTTTTTTTTTTTATTTAATTTTTCATTATTTTTCGGGCTCAGAAAAACGAACGAACTTTCTGGACGACCTAATATTAAATTTTTTTAATTCTAGAATCTCGGTCGCAAAGCCTTAAAAGTAAAATTTGAGTGTCCAACTTCGACCCTATTCATTTTCACCCTCCAATACAAGTCAATTTTCAGATCTCCTCGAACGGGAAACGCCTCACCATCAAGTCGATCAAAGTGGCGGACAACGGCCACTACAAGTGCGTCGCGTCGAACCGTGCCGGCCAATCGCACGCCAAGTTCCACGTGGACGTCCTGTGTACGCATTTACGCACCGAATACTGTCGCGCGCTCGAGTTCCGGCACATCAACCAGCAGCGGCGCGCGTTCGAGGCGCGCCGGCGCCATAACCCGACTAACCCGCTAACCCATCGGTTTTCTAACATTCGTCGGCACGAAGTGGGGGATCCGCCGCATTTCACGCTGAATCGACTGGTCCCGCGACAGTCGCCGGTCCATCCGATGGCGTTGGAGACACCGACTTTGCCCTTGCATAAGCTGAAAAATTACGAGAAATACGCGGGAAATTATGATCCGAATGTGGCGAAATTTGCATTTATTAGTAGTACGAAGCATAGGCCAAAGTTCAGGGTGGATGCCAAGTTCACAACCTACAGTAATCCAAGAAAAATGGCAAAAAACCGAATTTTCGAGCAAAATTTTTGGGAAGTTCCTTTTGAAACTCAAATTTCCGAAGATCCTCAACATCCACAAGGATTCTCAGACCCTTCTGACTCCCTAGACAACCATATTTTACAATTTAAATCATCGCCAACCTCATTTTCCGGCGAAAATTTGCATAAATCCTCGAAATTCGCGAGGAATTACTTTAAAACCAAGCTAAAACGGGTAAAGCCTCAAAGCCGCCCGCTCAAATCGACGGATCCAGATGATTTAAGTGTGCTGGAAGAGGATTTAAGGCCGGAGATTGCATCGGTCAACGATAAGCCCCCAAAACACTCGCTTTTCCGGCATTCCGAGCGCGCCGAACTCGAAACGACCGAGTTTTCCCCCGATTTCCGCGAAAAAATCCACTCAAAAACCGACCAAGGGTATTATAGCATATCGTAGTGGGATTTCTGTGTGTTTGCGGTGGGATTGTGATACTGTATTGTTCATATTTTGGGCTGTTTGTCTTTCGATTTTCCATTTTTTTCATTTTTTTCCAATTTTTTCCAATTTTTTCCAATTTTTTTCAATTTTTTACTGTGTTGTTGTATGTACACTGTGCTGTCATGATGTTGCATTTTCTCTATTAAACTTTATTAACGAAAACTAATCAATAAACTATATGAATTTCAAAAAAATCTAGAAATTTTCAACTTTTTTCCAAATTTTTCGAAATTTTTTGCTAAATATCCAAAAAGTTTTTAAAAAATCTCATTTTTAGCGCAACCCGTCATCATCGAGGAGAAAATCAACGCCGCACCAACAGTGCCCATTGGCCGTTCGACGGTGTTGTGGTGTCCCGCCTCAGGGCATCCACCGCCCACCGTCAAATGGTTCAAAGGTAATGGGGAGCAGGTCAAGGAAGTTCCGGGAAAAATTCGGTTGCTGGAGCGAGGCCAAGGCCTGGAGTTGATTCAGGCCGGCCTCGAAGACATTGGCACCTGGACCTGTCATGCGGAGAATGACGCGGGCGTCACGGAGAAGGTGATCACGCTGAATGTTTATGGTGAGTAGCGGGAACGGGATATGAAAAATTTTGACGAAATACATATCTCGACCTGCAATCCATACTTCATAGAAGTACTTTTGTGAAAAAAATTTCCATCGTATAAAATGTCACACCTAATTTTTAACAGTTTGAAAAATTTTTTCATCGTATAACATGTCACACCTTGTTTTTCTCAATTTTAATATCAATGGATCAAAATGGATCAAATAGGTCCATCGTATAAAATGTCACACCTAATTTTTTTCAATTTAAAAAAAATCCATCGTATAACATGTCACACCTTTTTTTCTCAATTTTAAAAAATTTTCCATCGTATAAAATGTCACACCTAATTTTTTTCAATTTGAAAAAAATTTCCATCGTATAAAATGTCACACCTAATTTTGCCCAGTTTGAAAAAATTTTCCATCGTATAAAATGTCACACCTAATTTTTTTCAATTTGAAACGTAAAATAAGGAAAAAGGACATTTGTTTTCAGTGGAACCCAAAGTTGAAGTCCGAGCCCAAGACAACCCTGTGAAGCCGGTTGGATCCTCCGTCACCATCTTCTGCAATGCCACCGGGAATCCCAAGCCGGCGCTTTCGTGGAACATCGACGGGAAACTGTTGATTCCCTCGGCCAACACGGCCCAAGTCTCGTTGTCTGTAAGTTCGGCTCTATTAACGAAGATTTCGCTTCCAGGGCACCCGCTTGGACATCATGAACCTGCAAGCCGACAACACCGGAAGCTACGAGTGCGTGGCGAGGAACGAGCTCGGCTCGGCCCACTCCGCCATCACCGTGGACATCCTGGTGACGCCGGAGATTAATCGCGAGAACTTGGAGCTGAACCGTCGTCTGATCACCGGCCGCTCGGTGACGTTGTATTGCGAGGCCGGCGGGAAGCCGACGCCGCGAATTGAGTGGTTCCTGAATGGGACGCTGATCACGGAGGAGAATGCGACGAACATTGTGTTCGGCACGGAGAATAAGTTCATTCAGGTAACTCTAATAAGTTCATAAGTTCAAAATGAGATTTTTGAGTAATTCTTAGATTCCTCGACGTATTTTACACTTGTTTCAGATTTCAAATGCAACCCTGGCGGACAAGGGCGTGTACGAATGTCGGGCGGAGAATGGCGCTGGAAAGGATAGCTTGCAATACGTAATTACTGTTGATTGTAAGCGTTTATGTCGACGCCCGTCCAGGGCCTGGGAAATTTTGAGGGAAGGCCAGGGACTTTTCAAATGGCGTCACTTGCGGGCAACCTGGGACATTTGCGGGCGAGGCCGTCATTTGCGGGCAGCCGACATTTTCCGGCAACAGGATTACAAAATTCCTGCGATTCTGGGGGTTTTTTGGAAGTCTGCCGACATTTGCGGGCAGCTGTTTCTTCCTCATAGACAAAAACTAACGTCAACTTATATCAGTCTGTCGGAGGCGGGACATCTTGCTATTACAGAGCGCTCATTTTGCTTTCCGCAAAAAATTTTCCCGCAAAGTGGTTGCCCGCAAGTACGCGCCCGGCTTTCAAACCTGTTACGGCTTCCTCAAGCTTTGTATACCACCTTTTCCAGTGTCCCCATCCATCATGAACAGCGGCACGAACAAGGTGGTTGAAGGCAATGTGGCCGTAATGGAATGTGTGGCCACCGGCGAGCCGAAGCCCAAAATCACGTGGCAGAGGAACGGGATTCGTGTGGAGACGGGCGCCCGCTACATGGTGGAGGAGAGTGTGCTGAAGATCATTGACACGCACAGCTCGGACTCGGGGATTTACGTGTGTGTGGCGACGAATGAAGCCGGCACCGATCAGCAGGCCTTCACGCTGGAGGTTTTGGGTGGGTTTTGGGATTTTTAGAGGGTAACTTTTTAGAGGGAATGGCAGGGTTGGTCATTAATATATTTATATATCGGTGTGTCGGGAAAATAATGTGGATTTGTGGCGGTTTGAATCGCCCATCATCGCCTTGCGACGGCTAGCAAGCGATGATGGGTAGCCGAAGATTTACAACGACAAATCCACATTATTTTTCCGACAGACCGAGAGTATTTTCATAAAGTCAATAGACATTTTTTCCACCCACATTATTTTGACAAATCCACATTATTTTCCAGACATACGCCATTATCGCTTTGCGACCGCTGGTTGCGGCAGATCCACATTATTTTCCCGACAGGCTGATATCACATAGGTTTCACTGTAATTTTTCTCTCTTCTTTCGCCAGTTATCAGTCTGTCGGGAAAATAATGAGCACTTTGTCGCATCGAAAAACGCATCGCCACCGAGAAAATTAATGTGTCGCGGCGAAAATCAAGTTGCTTTTCAATTCAGCGACGCGATCGGCGCAGCCACATTGTGCTCATTATTTTCCCGACAGAATAAGAAAAAAATTTCTTCAGTATCACCCGAGATCACCAAAAAATCGCCCAACGAGACAGTGGTGGCTGTGGGCGCCGAGATCTCGCTGGTCTGTGAATCCTCCGCCTATCCGCTGGCCAACACCTCCTGGTACTACATGGACGAGCCGATCGAAGAGACCGGCGTCAACTACACAATTCGAGGGAACGGCAATCTGATTGTTAGTGGGCTGAACGAAAAGGGCGACCTTCCATTCAAGTGTGTGGTGTGGAACGAAGCCGGAGAGGCCAGTAGTTTGTATGTGGTGAAGGTAAGTGGCCCTCAGGATGACGTATATGTGTGATATTCGAATATTTGACAGAGTGTTTTGGTATTTAAAATAATGATTTTTAGGCTATTAGTGCTCCAGCTACGATCGGACCCAACCAGGTTCGTCAGGTCAACAGCAGCCAAGGACAGCCCACCATCATCACTTGTGAGATCGAAATCGAATGGGAAAAGTCGGAGGTGGTCTGGAAAAAGAATGGGGAGCTGATCAAGCTGGGCGGTGTAAGTTTTTGAAGCTCCAAGAATGCGCTGGTCTTGATGGAAACTCTTTGAAAAAGAACAGTATCAGTCTGTCGGGAAGATAATGTGGATTTACCAGTCTGTCGGGAAAATAATGTGGATTTGTTGCACCTTGAAATTGTCCATCATGAATTTCTGAAGGCTAGCCGCAGCTGGAGAATTTTTGTGTGCGACTGTAGACTGGCAGGCAGATAAATCCACATTTTTTCCCGACAGATGGCTAAATCCACATTATTTTCCCGGCAAACTAACAAATCCACATTGTTTTTCCGACAAACGGATTCACATTATTTTCCCGACAAGCTTATAAATCCACATTATTTTCCCGGCAAACTAACAAATCCACATTATTTTTCCGATAAACTAACAAATCCACATTATTTTTCCGACAGACGGATACACATTATTTTCCCGACAAGCTTATAAATCCACGTTATTTTCGCAACACGATAAAAAAGAAATTCCGGCCCCGGGCCTCGGCCCCAAATTTTTCAAACTGTATTTCCAAGCCCTTTACAAAGTCCGATAGCCTTGTAAAAATATGGATATATACATGTGTAATAATGCTCGGAATTCCAGGAGATCACGGCCTTTGTAACCAACAAGAAGGGACAACTCCAGCTGGGCGACACCGAGCTGACCGACGAAGGGGAATACGAGTGCACGGTGACGAATTCGGTGGGAAATGCGACTCAAAAAACTCAACTTTATGTCGGAGGTACTCTTTTTTTGATGACTAAACTATTTTTTTATTTTCCAACTTCTTCAGTTCCCCCGAAAATCAACGAGAAGCCGTTGAAGGTGGTTGTGAAGAAGGGCGAAAGGGCCAAGGTTTGGTGCGAGACGGTCGGAATCCCGCCGCCGGAGATCAGCTGGAACCGCGACAATGTCACGATAACTAAGGAGCATTTGGCCACGGACGAGGATGATATTCTTCGGCTGGCTATTGTGTACAACGACGTACAGCCCACTGATGCGGGAATCTACACTTGCACGGCGAAGAATTGGGCTGGAACAGCCGAAAAGGATGTGGATTTGGTTGTCTTGAGTGAGTTACAGTACAACTAGATTAGTGACCGTGCACCTTGGTCAGCTATAGTAGCCTTAATTAAGCCATAGTGGCCATGACTAAGAACTGTACCCTTTATTAAGCAACACTTGCCTAAGTTGTCAAGACCTGCAGGAGTATTGCTGCAGTAGCCTAAATTGAGCGACAGTAATTCTAGGTTGGTTGCAGTAGCCATTAGTCTGCTGTAGTTGGTTACAGTAGCCTTTAGTCAGCCTAATTCAGCTGTGTTAACCCTTGGTTCAGCTACACTACCCCTTGGTTAGCTATTGCAGCCCAATTTCAATCATAGTTGCCCTAGGTCGGTTACTGTATTCACTTAGTTAGCTACAGTGGTCCCATGGCTGCCGGAAGAGCTCTAAGTCAGTTACCGTAAGCCTAAGTTCGCTAGAATCCCTTTGTTTTTAATCATTGCCCTGAGTGAGTTATCGTGACCTTGGTGGAGTTACAGTACCCCGCTTAGCAAGTTACAGTAACCTCAAGCGGGTCGTAGTAACCATGGTTGAGTTACAGGCGCCTATTAAAAACTTCAGCAACTTAAGGTGAGCTCAAGTACCCCTGAGTAAGCTACCATAACCTTAAGTTTTTTTTGTTTCCGAGGACAGTCTGCGATTTTGGAACCGCGGAGAACGGTCAGATCCAAGGTGTTTCACTTGTGAAGTGGTTACAGTATTTTATATTGTCGTAACTAAGAATAAAAAGGAGCTAAGTAATCGAATCGTGTTGTGAGTCATTGTATCTTGATTGTGTTGAGAAATTATTCGGACCTACGGGGTCGCGGGGAGCAAGAAGGAGGATTGAGAGGGAATTGATCCGGATAGGAGATAGGATCAGGATCCGAATAGACATTAGGATAAGCACAGAGACGGGGTATAGACAAGGAAAGCGATAACCCCGAGTCTGACATGGGTTCCGGGAACCCTCTCTCGATTGCAGTACCCTATGAACTCAAGTATTGATCCTAAGATGTTAGGATGCTGTTTGATTCCATTATTTATCTTTCAGCTCCACCTGTAATCGAGCCTCATCAGCTGAATGTGAATGCCTCTTTGGGAGATACGATCATCCTGCCGTGTAATGCCAGTGGAAATCCGGAGCCGGTTATTTCCTGGATGAAGGTTCCAAACATGACATTGATTGGGAAAGAAGATAGTAAGTCATAGCTATGCATAGTTTTTCGTGGCACACATTCTTTTACTGCGCTGTAAGTAAGGCTTTACTCATATTTTTTTCAGAATACAAGAATCTCGGCACCTCTTTGGCGATTCAAGGCGTCTCCATCGACGACGACGACTTCTACCAATGCATTGCGCGCAGCGACGCGGGCACCGCCACCGGAGTGCGTCGCGTCACCGTCAACAACATCCATCTGACGGGCCCACCAAGAGTTTGGGTCGAGTGCGACAAGGAGGGCAATCCCACGGCCAACGCGTACGTACCGCCACGCGGCGACGTCCCCACCGATATCGACCCGACGGACATTGAGTACCTCCCGTGGGAGGAGCGACATCTCTACCACGATAAGAATGGGAGCAATGTCATCTACTTCAAGTGCTTCCCAACGTCGAGGGACCCGAGGCATTTGGGTGAGGAGGCATTTCTTGTTTATGTATTTAACAGTACTACTTTTTTAAGTGGTATTGTTAAATAGTAATTTTTTGATTTTCTTCTAAAAGTACTCAATTTAGGGGTAGTCGATGGTGTAGATTCCAAAAATGATACCCATTTTTTCTAATTTTTACTTTTTTTTCTTAAGTAGTACTGTTAAATAATATTTTTTTTTGATTTTTTACTATGAGTGCTTGATTTAGGGGTAGTCGATGGTATAGACCCTAAAAATAAACCTAAATTTTAACCATTTAGGAGCCTCCCCCGCCCCACAACCCCCTCAATTCATCGAGACGCCCCCGCGACTCATCCAAATCGAAAAAGCTCAACCGTTGAAGCTGAAATGCAGCGCCACTGGAATGCCCGCTCCGGTGATTGTCTGGTCCATCAACGGAAAGATTGTGGACTCGTCGATGGATCTACTTGACCTGGAAGCCGGAGAAGTTGAAGAGGGAAGATATGTGTGCACGGCGAGAAATGATGTTGGAGAGGAACATGTAAGAGAAATTATGTTTTTTTTTTGATAGGACATGATTTAGATATACGCCGTAGAGGCTTTGAACAAACTTGAGAGACGTTTTATACGATGAAACATGTCTGGGACATTTCGAACATGTTTCATCGTATAAGATGGTTTCATAGGGCCATAAAATTTTTTTGCCTATTTACATATTCAATGTTATCCCTATAGCTTTTTGAGACCACTTTATACGATGAAACATGTCCGAAGCATTTCAAACGTGTTTCATCGTATAAAATGGTTTAACATGGCCACAAAAAATTTTTTTGAAATCAAAGCCGGCTTGACATATTCCATGTTATCTTTATAGCCTTCTGTGATCATTTTATACATTGAAAGATATCCGGTACGCGTCAAACATGTTTCGGTGTATAAAATGGTCCAAAAAAGCTATAAAAATTCTTTTGACGTGGCAGCCGGTATGGCGCTTTCCAGTTAATCGTTTTAAAATTTGTAAACTATTTTATACGATGAAATATGTTCGAACCACTTTGGACATGTTTCATCGTATAAAAGATCCTATTCGGTTTGGTTTCCTCGTAGTAATCTTTTTGGGCCTTGCAAGCCATTCATGTTATCATTATAGCCTTCTGTGACCATTTTATACGATGAAACATATCCGGTACGCGTCAAACATGTTTCGTCGTTTAAAATGGTCTAATAAGACTAAAAGGTATTTTTTAACACAAAAGCGGGACATGCCAAATTTTTTCGTCACCTTCATTAATTATTTCTTACGATAAAACTTGTTGAGAGCGCTTCGAGCATGTTTCATCGTATAAAACGTCCCACCCGGATATAGATTTTTCTTTATAGGCTTTTTGGAGCCTCTCATTTTGCAAACCATTTCCAGGCGATTGCGAAAGTCGAGTTCTCCGACAACAGGTCCGAGATTCGTCGTGCTCCCAAAAAAGAGCCGTTAGTCCCACTCACCGTAATCGACTGTAAAAACCCCTCCAAAGATCTTTCCTGGTACTTTGATGGCGAACGAATCGAGCCCATGATGGTCAACGATCGAATGCACATCCTGTCCAACGGGAGCTTGATTCTGCACTACTTCATCGACAAGGATGAGATCAAAAAGTATCATTGCGAGGTGCTCATCAACGGAAAGGATCACAAATTCAAGCCCAAAGAGCCCGCAACTCTGGAGGTGGCGGAGGTCGCGCCAGTGGTGGAGATCCCGCAAAGCGGGCGGATTGTTGGCCAGACCGGGAAACAGGTGGTTTTGGATTGTAATTTGGTCAAGGGAACGCCGTTGTTGACGCGAATCCGATGGACCAAGGACAATGTCAACTTGGAGATCGATGGAAGCAAATTCGTGTTTGCGGTAGGCCGGTTTTTCTGGTTATTTAGGAGAGGATTTAGAAGGAAATGGCACGTTTAGGGAGTATCAGTCTGTCGGGAAAATAATGTGGGTTTGTCGGGAAAATAATGTGGATTTGTCGGGAAAATAATGTGGATTTTGTCGGAAAAATAATGTGGGGTTGTCGGGAAAATAATGTGGATTTTCCGGGCTTCGAAATCGCTCATTGTCGCGCTTTGATTTGCGAAATATCTTTTGTTAAATCCACATTATTTTCCCAACAAATCCACATTATTTCCCCAAAAAATCAATATTATTTTTCCGACAAAATCCACATTATTTTCCCGACAAATCTTGTCGACAAATCCACATTATTTTCCCGACAAATCCAAATTTTTTCCCGATAAAAATCCACATTATTTTCCCGACAGACTGATACCACTAGTCCCGGGAAATCGACCAGTAATGAAGCTTATTGTTTTCAGAAAAACAACTCACTAGTCATCAACGACCTCACCGAAGCCGACCGAGGCAGCTACAAGTGCAGAGCGTGGAATAAAAAGGGGAAATCGTACGATGAAGTGGGCCTCATTGTTGGAAGTGAGTTTTTTTTTTCATTTTATGGCCAAAAGGCGTTTTTTTATATATAGTATACGTATATGTACTGTATGTATAATAATAGGTATATCTGTATCTATATGTATATGTATATGTGTATATGTATATGTATATGTGTATATGTATATGTATATGTGTATGTGTATGTATATGTGTATGTGTATGTATATGTGTATGTATATGTATATGTATATGTAAATGTATATGTAGATGTATATGTATATGTATATGTGTAGGTATATGTACTGTATAAGTATATGTATATGTATATGTGTATGTAGATGTATATGTATATGTATATGTGTATGTATATGTACTGTATAAGTGTATGTATATGTATATGTATATGTAAATGTATATGTAGATGTATATGTATATGTATATGTATATGTGTATGTATATGTATATGTATACGTATATGTACTGTATATGTATATGTATATGTATATGTGTATGTATATGTATATGTGTATGTATATGTGTATGTATATGTATATGTAAATGTATATGTAGATGTATATGTATATGTGTATATGTATATGTATATGTATATGTGTATGTATATGTGTATGTATATGTACTGTATAAGTATATGTATATGTATATGTATATGTATATGTATATGTATATGTATATGTATATGTATATGTAAATGTATATGTAAATGTATATGTACATGTATATGTGTATGTATATGTATATGTATATGTATACGTATATGTACTGTATAAGTATATGTATATGTATATGTATATGTATATGTATATGTATATGTATATGTATATGTATATGTGTATGTATATGTATATGTATACGTATATGTACTGTATAAGTATATGTATATGTATATGTATATGTATATGTATATGTATATGTATATGTGTATGTATATGTATATGTAGATATATATATAACAAATTGGCAGTAAATTCCAGTGCCTCAGCCATCATTTCCCACGTTTTTTTCAGACCTTCCCGGCGTCATCGAAGCTCGAATTCACGGCAAAGTGAACGGGCGTCAGATCAAGCCCACCAACATTGTGTTCGCGCGCCCCAACCCCAACGTCAACAGCAATGATCTGACGGTGGATCTGGAGAATCTGCCAGACCCCTTGGGACCGAACGGCACCCGAGCCCACAATCATTTGGTCGGCCTCATGGCCACACCCTCCATGCAGCTCGGGTACGATCCGGACCGCCTTCACGACGACACCAACCCCATGAACGTGCCATTCGCGCGCGCCACGGAGTACAAGTTCAAGTCGGGCGAGCGGATGAAGGTCAACCAAAAGTCGGTGGATACGCCGACCACCGAACGAATGAAATTGGACGTTGAGTTGGACGGAGACTTGCCGAACATCAAGCACGATGACGTCACTGTCGAGCCGATGGAAGAGGACTTGGTGGCGGACCGGCCGGATGAGCTGATTGGGCAGGGAAAGTCGGCGATCAGGTTCGGTCCTAATGGAGAAGTGCCTTTCACGTAAGTTGGGGAGTTCCAAAGGCGCCACAAATCCACATTGCTTAAACGAGCTACAGCTGTCAGCGGAGACAATAAAGGTTTCATCGTATGACATGTCGCACCTATTTTTTTTTAATTTGAAAAATGAGGGGGAGTGAAAAGGGGAGTGTTTGGGCACGTCAAGAAAAAATAAAACAAAAGCGCTCAAGCAATGAAAAATTCTTGGCATTCTGTTTGATCTCAAAGACAATTTTTTGCTCCAAAGATAGCCTGATTACACGATGAAGATGGGGTAGAATGAGGTTATTGCATACATAAATTTGAAGCTGGGCTCCTGCTTAACCTGAACATATACAGGGTCTTTCAAGAAACGTGAAGGAAAGTAGGAGGGTATAACTTTCGGCGGAGGCGGCGCAGAAAGCTCGTTTTTGGAATATGTATTTTTAAGTAACATTATTTTTTGCCTACAAAATAACAAGCTTTTCGAGTGCAAACTGAGGTCGCTACGACCTTCTGAAGTAGAGGCATCTCTACCCCGAAAACCAGGTTTTTTCGGTTGAAAATGATCGTGAAATTTCGGTCTTTTTCGGTTGAAAATCACCAAGAAATGTCGGATTTTTTCGGGGGTTTCGATAGAATTGACGTTGAAAAAAGGGAAGGATATTGCCAACACGTTGGAAATTAAGCAAATATTCGGCTAGCCTCAATTTGGGGCAAATTTCGAGTTTATTTTTCAGTATCTTCCGCGAAGAAGCGTGACATCATTTAGGGATTTGAGGAACCTGGAATCGGCTAGCCAAGGCACCAGAATGGCATAAAAACAAGTCAAAGGGTGTAATGGGCGTCAAAGGGCAGGAATGACAACCAAACTTTTAAACTGCTAGCAAAAACTGGCTAGCCAAAGTGTCAAAATAAATAGTAGCCGAACATTTGCTTAATTTCCAACTTGTTGGCAACATCCTTCCCTTTTTTCAACGTCAACTCTATCGAAACCCCCGAAAAAATCCGACATTTCGTGGTGATTTTCAACCGAAAAAGACCGAAATTTCACGATCATTTTCAACCAAAAAAACATGGTTTTCGGGGTAGAGAGGCCTCTACTTCAGAAGGTCGTAGCGACCTCAGTTTGCACTCTAAAAGCTTGTTGTTTCGTAGGCAAAAAATAATGTTGCTTAAAAATACATCTTTCAAAAACGAGCTCTCTGCGCCGCCTCCGCCGAAAGTTATAGCACTTTCCTTCACGTTTCTTGAAAGACCCTGTATATTTCATATAAAAAATCGGTCGTCTTCTATCTGTTTGAAGCCTAAACTAACAACGCCTAAAAAATTTTGCGATTTCGAGGATTTCTCTAAGATTTTCCCTCGCCCCTATTTGAAGTTTCGTGGAAACATAGTCTGGAACAAGGCGGATTTTTTGAGCCTCAAACGAAAAAAAATCAAATGAGCCAGTTTCGAGATAGAAAATCTCTTCATTTTGCGCAATATTTCGCCTTTCCTCTGACCTCGTCCAAAAAAACTGTCATTGAGACGGATTTTTAGACACTTCCGTAAGCGGAAACAGAATGCCAACTTTCGTGTTGAAAGATAACCCTTTGAGCGCAAAATCTTGACGTGTTGGGCTCAATCGCACGGCTCCGGAGACGGCGCTTAGCTCTGGCTCTGACAATGAGCGGAAGCCCAAAGCCGGCGCCGGAGCCGGAATTTTGTCCTTGGCAATCTCTCTCGGGAAGACAAAATGATTTCAGCAAGAGAATCTTTGCTAAGAAAATCTTCTCCATTTTCAGTTTCAACGACAAGATCAGGCTGAACCTGTCCGAGGGCCAAGAGATCCTCTCGCCCGACATGTCCATGCACCTCCGTACCGCCGTGGATCCTCGAAGCAGCGCCGAAACACCGCTGAAAATCGGTCTTCAAATCAACACGAACCGTTTCGGCGAGTGTCCCGACGGCTACGTGCGCATCAAGGACCACTGTAAGGACATTGACGAATGCGCGCTGGACAAGAGCGTGTGCGCGGGCCGCTCGGCGTGCCGAAATACGTTCGGCGGGTTCGAGTGCGAGCTGGAATGCCCCGAGGGCTTCGCAGCCGACGAGATGGGAGAATGCGCCGACGTGAATGAGTGCACGTTGGGGATGTTCGATTGTGATTTGGGAATGGAGTGTAGGAATACGAATGGAAGCTATGATTGCGTCGAAGCATGCGCTGAGGGCTATTTCATGGAGCACACGGGAGATTGTGTGGGTAAGTGATGGAGTGGGGGGTTTTCGCGAAAAAAATATTATTTGTTTATTCGTTTGTCGGGAAAATAATGAGCACTCTGTCGCAGCGAAAGTCTTTAGGTCAAGGGGGGAAAGAATATAAGAAAAATAGAGCCGATAAGAGAAAGAATAAAGGTTTGGGTAAGAAGCTACTACTAAAAAAAGCAAGAAATATCAGTTAGTCGGGAAAATAATGAGCATTCTTTCGCACCGAAAATCGCATCGCCGCAGAGAACATGAATTGTGTCGCGATTAGACATGGCTGGGGGGCCGGGCCGGGCCGAAAATCGCGGCCCGGCCCGGGGGCCGAAAGAGGTCGGCCCGGCCCCGGCCCCCGTCAAATTTTCTCGGCCCGGCCCGGCCCGGCCCCCAGGGGGCCGGGCCGGGGGCCTACCGGGGGCCGAACTGTAAATATAAATACTGCATTCATTACGAGATATTATACATTTTTTTGGGGCTTTGGTAGTTCAGCCCCCCACGAAAGGTAGTTCAAACCCCCACTGTTTTGTCCATTTCACACCCCCCATAATTAAAAAATTAGAATAATACAAAAAATGGAAATTAGAGTAAAATGACCTCCGGCGTTTTAGCTCAAACCCCAAGTTACCGTCCAAATTCGTTCTTGTGGTTCAGGCAACGATGATCGTAGCCGAGAGAACGCAATCCCGAGTAGGCATTTCAGATTAGATGAGCGGGTTTATAATGGGTCAAGGGGGGCTGAACTGGACTGGGGGGTTGTACTACCGTAGCCCCCATTTTTTTGTTATAACAATCGAAAAAAAAATTTTTGAAACAAAAAATTACCAACCATTGCCATGTATATACTTCAAAAGACCCAATCGGTTCTTGGCTCTGCATTTTTTTTTGTTGGCAACCCTAACTTTCGCTTTGAGACTGGGAATTTTTGTCATTGGGGGCCGATTGGGGGCCTGGCGGGGGCCCCCGGTCGGCCCGGCCCGGGGGCCGGAAGAGGTCGGCCCGGCCCCGGGGCCTTTAAAACTCGTTCGGCCCGGCCCAGCCCGGCCCCCCGGGGGGCTGGGCCGGGCCGGGCCGGGCCGGCCCGGCCCACTAGCCATGTCTAGTCGCGATAAAATCATTTTTTTCACTTCAGCGACAGTATCGCCGCAACGACAGAGCGCTCATTATTTTTCCGACAGACTTATATTAGCATTTTCATAAAGTGCGCATACTTTTTGTTGCGAGTTTTTTTTCTGTGCCGTGCATTTCGCACTTTGTACTACGCATTTTTCAATGCGACATTGTGCTCATTATTTTCCCGACAGACAGATAATAGTCGCGCCATAAAGTCCCATTAGCCTTGTACATACACTGTAGGGTCCTTGGGAGTGTTAGTAACTCACCCGTTGGGGTTTCGTGCGGACACATTTTGCTACGACAAGTCCACATTATTTTCCCGACAGACTGACGCGACGGCTAACCGCGGCTAAGGACTTAGGGCATACTTGGGCTAGTCAATTTTCGATGCGACTGAGCGCTCATTATTTTCCCGACAGACCGATACGAAGTTTTATTGTGCAATCCAAGACATATCTTCGTCAACAATTGACCATTACTTGCCCTTTTGGAAAAAATTAACTTTTTTCCCTTTCCAGACATTGACGAATGTCAGCGTTCCCCTTGCCGCTCACCCATGGAATGCGTCAACCTTGGAGGCGACTATCAATGTGTTTGTCCATTAGGCCTTGAGCTGGTCGACAATGGGACGCGCTGTGAAGGGCTGATATCGAATATGGACACGCCTTTGCAAGCCATGACCTTTGACACAACACCGAATATTTTCGAATGCCCCGAGGGCTTGGAGTGGACGGGAACAGCGTGTGCGGATATTGATGAGTGCGCGTTCGACGCACCCTGTCAACACAAATGCTTAAATCATGCCGGAGGCTATGAATGCTATTGCCCGGAGGGCTATATTTTGGATGAATTTGGACAGTGTTTGGGTGGGTTTTGAGTGGTTGATAGGACAGGTTGGAAGGTTGGACTTCTCCAGATTATCTGTCTAAAACTTCGTTAACCTTTTTATACGATGAAACATATCCGAACGGGACTAACATGTTTCATCGTATAAAATGGTTTAAGTAGGATTTGACGAAGTTTTTCACGTGGAAACCAGTTTGAAAAATTCAAAATTATGTTTCAGCCCTTCTATAACCATTTTATACGATGAAACATATCCGAAACACATCCAACATGTTTCATCGTATAAAATGGTTTAAAAAAACCAAAGTCGACCATATCATCTCGTTCCCAATTAATTTTTTGACTGATCTTCTTTTTAGACATCAATGAATGCGAAATGGAAGGAGTTTGCGGTCAAGGCGAGCTCTGTTTCAACCAGCTGGGCGACTACTCTTGCATTGTGAATGCGTGCCCACCAGAGTATCGGCTGCGGATAGAGAGTAGTGATATGTAGGTTTTTTTTGTTTTTTAATCTATTTTGTCATCCTCAATCCCATGGATATTTGTGGCGCGACTCTCAGTCTGTCGGGAAAATAATGTGGATTTTTCGTGTCTTGGAATTGTCCATAATCGATGTGCGGCGGGTAGCCGCGAGTGGAGATTTGGATACTAAAAATCCACATTATTTTCCCGAAAAACTAATAATTCCGCATTATTTTCCCGACGGAGTAAGAAATTCATATGATTTTCCCGACAGACTCAGAAATCCACATTATTTTCCCGACAGACTCAGAAATCCACATTATTTTCCCGACAGACTCAGAAATCCACATTATTTTCCCAACAGACTGAAAAATCCACGTTATTTTCCAGACAAACGGAAGATCCACATTATTTTCCCGACAATCTATAAATCCACATTATTTTCCCGACAGACTGATAAATTCCTGTTTCAGAGCCACCTGCCTCCCACTGTGCAAGAACTGCACCACGCCCATCATCCACATCTACCTGTTCCCACTGCCGCAGGGCCTGCCGAAGGGCACGCCGCTGGCGCGTCTCGCCGCCCACGACACGAAAGGCAAGATCCTGCGCAACACCACCTTCCACGAGATCCGCGACATCCAGCAGCCGGTGCCGGAGCGGCAGGCGGTGGAGGTGCGCGTGAAGGAGGGGCGCGCCACGCTCCTGCTCAACGACCGCCTGCCCGCCGGCACCAAGCAGCGGCTGAACCTGCGCTCCGCGAGCGTCTCCGTGGACGGGGCGCACAAGTACGCCAGCAACTTCCACATCTTCACGGCCATTTCGAAGTACCCGTTCTAATCCAGCGAATTGTTACGTATTTTAAGGATATTTCTTTTTTTTCTTTCGTCATCGATTGCAGTTTTCCCTCTGTTAATAAATAATAAATATACATAGTAAATACATAATGAATATTTTAGAAGATGTTTTCAGTCTGTCGGGAAAATAATGAGGACTCTTTCGCAGCGAAAATCGCACGAGAAAGTTAGTTGTGCCGCGACAAAATCAAACTGCTTTTTAATGCTTCAGCGACATGATCGGCGTAGCGACATTGTGCTCATTATCTTCCCGACAGACGGATATCAGTCTCCGCGACAACTCCACATTATTTTCCCGACGAACTGACATTATTTTCCCGACATTTTTTTGTAAAGTGCATAGACATTCCGTCACGGTCTCGCACAGAATTGGATGGACCAAGGACAATGTCATGTTGGATATCGAAGAAAGCAAATTCTGTGTTTGCGGTGGACAGGGTTTCTTGTTTCTTTTTGAAAATGACTATTTTAGAAAGTATCTGTCAGCCGGGAAAATAATGTGGATTTGTCGCGCCTAGGAATTACCATCGCTTTGCGACGCCTTGCCGCGGCTGGAGATTTGGAGCGCGACTTCGACGAGGCGAGGAATTTGGCTGTGACAAATCCACATTATTTTCCCGACAGACTGATAAATCCACACTATTTTTCCGACAGACCGATAAGTCCACATTATTTTCCCGACAAACTGATAAATCCACATTATTTTCCCGACGGGCTAAAAAATCCACACTATTTTTCCGACAGACTGATAAATTCACATTATTTTCCCGACAGACTGATAAGGCGTCTAGCTGCGGCCGAGAACCGCAGCGTCCAATCTTGCGATGCGACAGGGTGCTCATTATATTCCCGACAAGCTAATATATAGTAAAAATATGTACATAAGAAGAGGAAACTGCATGATTTTTAGGGATTATACTTGACACAAAAATCTTGGGATTAGCATCTTTTCAATTAGCGATGTAACAAAAATATTGTACCTTGATGCTTCCTTACTAGATTAGAAAATTTGAGCTGCACGGGGGACGTGCGTAAAACACAAAACACACACTATAGTACATGTATATAGAGGATACGTAAAAAAATGAATAATAAACAAAGTACACCGTCACATGGCAATTGTCATGTGTTGGTTCAAATTATTTTTTCAAAAAAGTTAATTACAGATTTAAATTAATATTGCCAGCTTGAATTTGGTTGTCGTAACAAGGTTTATTCGAGCGAGCGAAGCTTAAATTTGGTTTGACAGAAGGCAGGAATTGGGTATATACGTAACCCACACCGTTACTTGGACTCACGGCGTTCCGGCTTCGATATTAGCATTTTCACAAAGTGCCTGGACTTTTGTCGCTGCGCGCACTGTGCACAAACGCCCGCGATTTTTTGCACCGTGCATTGACCTTTCTTTGGTTTTGCACTGTGCATTTGAAATATCGCTGCAACGTAAGCTTTTCTCAACTGCGCCGCGGCGATTTTGATCAAAAATGTGCACAGTGCAATCGGCTTTTTCGACGCTTGCACGGTGCGCGAAGACAAAAATCCACAGTGCGTTGGCGACAAAAGTTCAAGATGCACTGTGCGAAAGCGAAAACAAGTCCAGGCACTTTATGAAAATGCTAATAGGCGAGCCCCCATATACTCGCTGACCAGGGGAGAAGGGGATTTGAAGTGGGACCGACCGGTCGAAGAAGACAAGACTAGAGGTGGCAATCGGGCCGGGCCGGGCCGATTTTTGCGGCCCGGCCCGCGGGCCGAAGTGACCAGGCCGGCCCAGGGCTTTTTCAAATTTGCTCAGGCCCGGCCCGGCCCGGCCCGATGAAAGCCCAGGCCGGCCCGGCCCGGCCCGGCCCGGTTTGGCCCGCTAATACAGAAAAGTTGGATAAAAGTCTTTGCACTTTCTAATGGAAGTTCTTATGATTTCCGGAAGGTTTTTACGTGTGTCTGCGTGAAATTAAAAAGTCTAGTCGAATGACTGGAACATCCGCAGAGGTAGCTAAAGCCTAGCCAAAAAGTTGGATTGTGTTGAATTTTTTAATCCTATAGGAAGTTAGCTATATAAAAGTATGGACGTTATAAGGTACATCGTTAACCAAAAACTGTTTAAACACTTTCATTTACATCAAGGAATCAAAATTACAGTGAAATTTTTAAATTTATCATAAAAAAATTCGAAGATTTTTGCCCGACCCTTGCATATTTGGGTGGGATTTTACATATACATAATAAGTTACATATGCATATACATAATTTTAAAAGGTAGTAAAACAGCGTATAAGTCAAAAAAGGTTTAATCTAATTTCCATCCATTCTACAAAGCATTTGTGCTTTATTTTGCTGGTTTAGCATTAAAAATTTTTTACTTATCTACCTTCCGGGCCGGGCCGGGCCGAAAGTGTCGACCCGGCCCGCGGGCCGAAGCGGTCAGGCCGGCCCAGGGCTTTTTCAAATCTGCTCAGGCCCGGCCCAATTGCCACCTCTAGACAAGACCAAGGAGAAACGTATAATATTTATTTGCAACACAGCAGGAAAAAGTGATTATAAGATGATCAAATCCGTGGCTTTTATAGGGAATGAGCGAACTTATGCAAATTCAAGGTCTAGCGCCAACAAAAGTTCAGAAATATGGGAGAATGAAAGCGCGACGTGCAAAAAGGTATCAGTCTGTCGGGAAAATAATGTGGATTCGTCGCGCCTTGGAATCGCCCATCATCGTTCTGCGAGATTTGGATTTTACAAATCCACATTATTTTCCCGACAAACTGAAAAATCCACATTATTTTCGCGAGAAACCGAAAAATCCACATTATTTTCCCGACAGACTGGCGGCGATATTCCGGTTGCAAAGTGCCACATCCGTCGTGAAAATAATGTGGATTCGCCGTGCCTTGGAATCGCCCATCATCGCCTTCCAGCCATAGCTGAAAATTTGGTGCGCGGTAGCAGGCAAGATACTTTGCTGCGGCAAATCCACATTATTTTCCCGACAGAAAGATAAATCCACATTATTTTCCCGACAGACTGATAAATCCACATTGGCTTTCAAAGTGTCACATTCGTCGGAAAAATAATGTGGATTCGTCGCGCCTTGGAATCGCCCATCATCGCTTTGCGACGGCCAGCCATAGCTGGAGATAATCCACATTATTTTCCCGAGTATTTTTTTCACAATGTGCAGAGACATTTTTTCCTCCACATTATTTTGAGAAATCCACGCTTTGCGACGTCTGGCCGCGGCTGAAAATTTGGTCCGCGGAAGCGACAAAGCAAGATATTTCGCTGCGACAAATCCACATTATTTTCCCGACAAACTAATAGTCTTTTGCCCAAATTTTCTCATAATTTTGACCCTTCGAACACCCACCTTTCAGAGAGATTTCCGCGACATTCCCACTGCCCAATAACGCGTCCCGACATTTCGGGTCAGGGACAACTCGGGTCGCGACAACTCGGGTCAACGACACTTCGGGTCAACGACACCTCGGGTCAACGATACCGTTTAATATTTTCGCTTCGGGACTGGGAAAAAAGAATTTTTTTGGTGAATTTGAGAAATTTTTGAAATGTTTTCGCTTCGGGACTTGGAAAAAAGAATTTTTTGGATAGTTTCAACAAATTTTTGAAATGTTTTCGCTTCGGGACGTGGGAAAAGGATTTTTTTGTACTGAATGTTACAATTTTATTTTACATAAGGTACAAATGTTATTTCTTTAATTTTTTAGATAAATAGTTATTTTAGAGGTAATTGAGGTTTATTTTAAAAATTTTTTGGGAAAATAGTGTTTATAAACGAGGAGCAAATAAGAAAATCGTTATGTGCATACAACCATTACGACTATCTTCTTACTCCACTCTCTGGCACTGTCTGCGTTTAAATCCCGTGCTTCCAGTTAAAACAAATGGATATGATTTTCTAATTTACTCATCGCTTATACACTATTTTCCTAAAAAAATTTTAAAAATAAACCTCAATTCCCCAAAAATTCTTTTCCCCAGTTCTTGAAGCGAAAACATTTGAAAAATTTCTCAAATTCACCAAAAAATTCTTTTTTCCCAGTCCCGAAGCGAAAATATTTCAAAAATTTCTCAAATTCACCAAAAAATTCTTTTTTCCCAGCCCCGAAGCGAAAATATTAAACGGTATCGTTGACCCGAGTTGTCGCGACCCGAGTTGTCCCTGACCCGAAATGTCGTAGCGCCCCCAATAAGTGCCATAAACGGCCTGTCACTCCTCTGTTTTCGTCATTACCCATTCCCCAGACAATCACGGCTCCTTCAAGTTTGTAGTTCCCCCCTTCTTTCGTCTCGTTTTCCCCGCAAAAATTGAGAACCCCAAAGTCGCCTTGGTGATGGGTTCGTAATAAATATTATTTTCCAAGCGGGGCTTTCGTTCAAAAAAAGTGTGCAGAATCGCAGATTCCGCCACCGACCCGGCTTCTTTTCGGCTTTTGTGCGGGAATTCCCGGGGAGGCTTTCGAACGGTTTAAACTTTGTAAGTTTGAGAAGTTCGTAGAAAGAGTTTGAGAGCTTTGTAAAAAGCCTGTAAGAAGGTGTTGAAAGCATAATGAATTTTTCGAAATTTGGATATTTGGAGACCTTGTGGGTGGGGAATATTGTAAGTCACTGTTGACCGAATTTGAGCTCAAAAGATCTTCTTTTTTGTTGGAAATTTTGCTGTGTTTAGAACGTTAACTTTTTTGATGTCTGTCGGGAAAGTAATGAGCGAAGCGTCGCGTCGCTGAAGTGGAAGCAACTCAATTTTTTCACAATTCATTTTCTCGGCGACCGTTCGATTTTCGATGCGTCAAAGGGCTCATTATTTTCCCGACAGACTGATAAAACTTGATTTATTTTTTCAAGGGAAGTGTTCAAACTTGACCGCTCGGATTTCCTTTAAATTTTGCGCACATTTTGTCGATAGCGCTCATTTCAATTCCTGAAAATGTAACACATATATTATAACTCTTTCCATAAAGTCCGCAGACTTTTTATCGCTAGTCGAAAACACCCATTTTGCACCGTGCGGTTCACTTTTTGCACCGTACAATCGGAATATCGCGGCGACGACGAAAAAAGTCCACGCACTTTATGGAAAGACTATGTAGTAAGACCATCTGTTTGTCGGAAAAATAATGAGGAATTGTCGCAGCAAAACTTCCCGGCTTGTTGCATATAATTGCGATAATTGGCGATTCACAAACCCACATTATTTTCCCGACAGACTGATATTTTCTTGCAAGATATTCAACACTCCTTTTCCAAGAAGATACTGTGTTTTTACCTGAGTAAATCTTGTTTCTCAGCTGTATATTTCCCCACACTTCTGAGTGGTTGGCACGTCAAGATACCAGCCGTTTTCCTTCATTGAATTTTCGATGCAAGAGAATTCCGAAAATTAATAATTTTGGAACGTTTTAGTCTTTGATTTAGCACAAGTCTGGCACATTTTCCCATGGTTTTAGGGATTCAACCGCATGCGGAGCACATGAGAATGTGTTTCAGACTTTGTATTTTAGTCACGGTTCTGATTCCATGGGAGGTTTTTGGACATAAAGGGGCGGGAAAACGGGGAAACGGCAGGGTTTTAGTGGGGTTCTCAAAGTGCTGTGCTCAGATTTTAATGAATTTAGGACACATTTAGAGTTATTTTTTTCTGAGATGTGAAATCCTAGCTTGCACTTTGCGGAAACTACCAGGACTTTTTGGTCAAACGTCAGCAAAAATTTTACATTTTTTTGCAAAGTTTTACATGAAAAATTTTACATCTAATTCTATCGTATAGTACGTAACTTTTCCACTAAAAACCGATTTTTTTCATGCGAAAACGACAAAAGATATAGCCAAAAAGCTCTTACTTTTACATCTTTTACAGATCTCCCCTTTTCGTGTACTCTCTCGGCCACGAAGGTCGTTGAATATCTCGACATTCCACAATTTTGTTGTCGAGAAGAAAAGAAGGGTCTTTTTTTTGGTCGAAAAATTGCTCGCCGCAGTCGCAGCAGTCTGTCGGGAAAATAATGTGGATTTTTCGTAATGCCTCGCTTTGTCGGAGGCACGGAAAAAAGTCGATGACGAGCGATTGCAAGGCACAGCGAATCAACATTCTTTTCCCGACAGACTGATAAATCAACATTATTTTCTCGACAGACTGTTAATCCACATCATTTCCCCGACAGATTGATAAATCCATATTATTTTCATGACAGACCAATAATCCACATTATTTTCCCGACAGACTGATAAATCCACATTATTTTCCCGACAGACTGTTAATCCACATTATTTCCCCGACAGATTGATAAATTCACGCTATTTTCATGACAGACCAATAAAACCACATTATTTTCCCGACAGACTGATAACTCCACATTATTTTCAAGACAGACCGATAAATCCACATTATTTTCCCGACAGACTGATAAATCCCCATTATTTTCCCGACAGACCGATAAATCTACATTATTTTCCCGACGGAGTTATCCCAACACCAAGTGTTAGTGTTTTCATGAAGTTCGGAGACTTTTCGTAGTAAAGTTTTTTGCACTTTTTGCCCATACCTTCATAACATTGACTAATGGGCGTTATTTTGTTATTGCATTTTTCAAAAAGTACCTACTGACTTTGATAAATCCACATTATTTTCCCGACGGAGTTATCCCAACACCAAGTGTTAGTGTTTTCATGAAGTTCGGAGACTTTTCGTAGTAAAGTTTTTGCACTTTTTGCCCAAACTTTCATAACATTGACTCATGGGTGTTATTTTGTTATTGCATTTTTCAAAAAGTACCTACTGACTTTGACTTTTTACTATTAACTTTTACGCCATTTGAATCCGTGGGGTCTTACAACATATAAAATAAAATGGTTTACCTTTCAGCTCCTTCGTCTTTCACCCCTTTTCTCAACATACCATACGTCTACTGTAGATTCAATTAGCCCTTTTTTGACCACCTTTTCAACAAACTTCCCGTAATTTTTTCGCCATGTTCAACGCGATGTACGCGAGTGCGAAGAACGGACTGGACCCGGCCAAGCCCTACACCCTGAACGACTTCGAGATGAAGGGAAAGCTGGGCAAAGGCCAGTTCGCCGAGTGCTACAAGGCCAAGTTTCTGGGCGACGGAACGCACTATGCGATAAAGAGGATTCAGGTAAGTGTTGGCTACTGGAATTTGATGTTTTTGAATTTTTAGATGAGCATGTTGAAGGACAAGAAGTCGAAGGACGATTGCCGAAAGGAAATGGACCTGTTGCAGCGGCTCCGACACGAGAATATCATCCGATACTACGTGTCGTTTGAGGATAAGGTGAGTGAAATGATATTACTGTGGGGGTCGGTTCCAGTGGCAAAAAACGTATCATTTTGCACCCGAGAAGTGTCAAAAATGTGTCAAAATGCTTCCCTCTCCAAGTGAAAAAACTTCGTTTTGAAGGCGCGTCCTTTATCCCCATAAAAAAAAGCGGGCGCGTTTTTGAAACCGGAGTTTTTTTCACTTGTAGAGGAAGGTATTTTGCCATATTTTTTTGTTACTTCCTGGATGCAAAATGGTACATTTTTTGCCACTGGATCAGGTCCCCCACTGTAGAAGGGCAGTGTCCGAAGTGCGACGCTCAGATTTTAATGAAGCTTGGCATCAATTTAGAGTAATTTTTCCTATACCAGGAAAGTATTATTTCTCTGGTGTATGGAGTTGCAGGCCGTGACATATTTACATCAAAAAACCCAAAAATTTTTCTGATCCAGAATATGCAAAAATTAGCCGCCTAATTTTGGTTTGTAAAGGCGAAGCTGAGCTAAAGTAAACCCTGAAATCTTGACAAGCCTTACGATATCAAATTTAGCAGTTCCAATGTGCATATATAAATATTTAAGAAAGGGGCATTTGCGAGAAAAGTTCTGACGGTTTTTTTCGCCCGTAGACCAAAATTACGCTGTACCGAGTTTGCAGTATCAGTCTGTCGGGAAAATAATGAGCACTCTGTCGCAGCGAAAATTGCATCGCCGCCGAGAAAATAAATTATATCGCGGCAAAACCAATTTTTTACTTACAAGGGAAGTACCCCAAGTGCGACGCTCAGATTTTCTTTAAATTTTGCACACACGTCGGGCATGGACTAAGTATCAATTCCTGAAAGTTTTAGCTCGCGCTTTGCAAGCGCCGCCGAGATATTGGACGATCTTTGCCGTCGAGAGAGCATGCTAACCGCGGAGAGCGGTCAGAGAGAAAAACACTTTTTGGCCATAACTTCGCTAGTTTCGTACGGAAAAAATTCATTTCTTGTGGAAGCATTACCCATTACAATAGGAATAAGCATGAAACTTTTTGTGTCGAAATTCTGCAAAAAGTGTCAAATTTTCGCCGACTTTCGGACTAAAAATCTCGGTTGTTTCTGCAAAGCGCGAGCTAAGATTCTCGCATATATCTTAGAAAAAACTATTCTAAATTTGTGCCAAGTTTCATCGAAATCTGAGCGTCGCACTTGGGGTACTTCCCCTGTTAATTTCGTTTTTCAGAATCAAGACTTTTTGTACATTGTCCTTGAACTGGCCGATGGCGGAGATTTGCATGGAATGCTGAAGGTAAGCGACAGATTGTAGAAAGTTTTGATACCGTAAATTTCCTCTCAGACCTTCAAGAAGAACCGCCGATTAGTGCCGGAGAAGACGATCTGGAAATACTTTGTTCAGATAGCTCGCGGCTTGACGTACATGCACGACATGAGCATCATGCATCGAGGTGAGACTTTGTGACTCATATGTTTCATAAATTTGCCATATTAGTAGTTTCATAAAGTGCGTAGACGTTTTTTTCTGCCTTTTATCGCGAACGCACTAAATACGCTGTGCACTGGCGACAAGCATGGGAAAAAGGTCAAAATTCACTGTACGAAAGAGGCAAAATGTCCATGCACTTTATGAAAAAAACAATGATCTTTTAAACATCATCTTTGCACTTCAGACATCAAGCCGGCCAATGTGTTCATCACGGTGAAAGGCGTCGCCAAATTGGGGGACCTGGGACTCGGCCGATTCTTCAGTATGCAGACAAATCAGGCCCATTCTTTCGTCGGCACACCGTATTACATGTAAGTCGATTTTTTTGTAAAAGCTAGCAGGCTGACCGACGAAATAGTAGTTTGTAAAAATCGTGTGTGCAAAGTTTAATGGAAATCTGAGTGTGAGTCTTTGAGAATTTCTTTCTTAAACAGATTTTAGCATTTTTTAGGTCACCCGAGCGAATGGTCGAGCAAGGATACAATTTCAAATCCGACGTGTGGAGTTTGGGCTGTCTTCTTTACGAGGTAGGCTTTCCCACTCATCTGTTACTCATCTTCTTGACTTTTTCAAAAAGTGCGTCGACTGTGCGCCACGGCATAAGTCACGCTCTTTGAAATGTGTAGCAAAAAATCTGTGAATCACAGTTTATCAATATTATTTTCAGATGGCGGCGCTACAATCACCATTCTACGCCGAAAAAACAAATCTCTATGCGTTGGTGAGGAAGATCGAGCGCTGCGACTACCCTCCCATCCCATCGGATCTGTATTCCAAACAGGTAAATTATCAATTTTCTGGCGCTTATGTAGAGAGAGAGAATCATGCTTTTTTGTGGAAAATGAAAAAAAAAATGAAAAAACAGATTTTTCGAAAAAAATAATTTTTATAAAAAAATTGTGTCGTTATGCAAAATTTCGCCCGTAATTCCGAAATTCCAGCTCCAAATCCTCATCGAGAACTGCATTTGCACGGATCCGCAGCGGCGCTTCAGCGCGAAGCAGGTGAAAACCGTCGCCGAACACATGAACGCCCACTTCTCGGGGCGACGATGAACTTTCCTCCAACTCAACGCCATTAAAACACCTTGTAATTATTATCAATAACTCTCGTATAAACTGTTAGATCAACGATGGAATTCGAAGAAAGCGGACGTTGTTCCGAAGGAGCGAAAAAGCGGCGCCTTCGGAAGCCGTCGGATGAACGATTAATCGGGGAAAAACTCGGTGTTTTTTTTTTTGGTTTTCAAAGCAGTGAAAATACAAACCTTTTCATTTTTCGAGTTAATGAGGTCAAATAATTTTTTGTTTTTTTTTCGAAATTTGTTGATGATACTTCTTAAAAGTCTGTCGGGAAAATAATGTGGAGTTGTCGCGCCTCGGAACCGACCATCATCGCTTTGCGACGGCTAGCTGGAGATTTTGGGCGCAACTGGGACGAGGCGAGAAATTTTACAAATCCACATTATTTTCCCGACAGACCGATATTACATAGCCGAGAAAATAATGTGGCTGCATCAATAGGGTCGCTGAAATATTATAACAAGCAATTTGATTTTGCGGCGATGCAATTTTCGATGCGACAGAGGGCACATTATTTTCCCGACAGACTTAAAAATCTGATTTTTATCGCTTTATTTCCCTCAAAGAACAGTCAAGGTGCATTAAAATTTGTCATTATCGCATTTCCCGCGAAAATTCGTACTTGCAACAGAATGCCAAAACATCAAGTTTTCGCTGAAAAAATCAAGTTTTTCACTATTTTCCCGACAAACCAATATCTACAACCATTCACCTTGCAGACCAAAAGAAACCTCTATATAACGAAGGCCTTCCACAATAAAGGCAACACATCCTCTGTAACGGGAGCTCGCACACAACGAAACCCGTCTATAACGAGCAATTTTAGTGTATCCGGTGTAAAATCGCTTTCTCGAGATTTGTTGTACAGAAATTTCACTGTATGCGCTTTTTAAAATCCAATTCTTTCTTAATGAAAAGAAGGGCTGAGGTGGAAAATTGAGGTGAGCGCGTAATAACCACTCTTTTCTGGATGAAAACGGCGTCTTCAAGGTCATAATTTTCCTATTTTTGTGTTTTTCTCGGCTCCTCAACTTTTTTTGATTTTATTTTTTTGACATTTTTTAATTTTTGGCTAGTTAAAATTAGCCAAAGCTTTAGTATAATTTTTTCGAGGCCCAACGCAAACTCCTAGCTTGCGTTTTGCAGAGATGACATATTGTTAGATTTTTAGGTCGAAAATTGGCCAAAATGTGTTTTGGTGAGAAGAGCTTCACGGCTGTCTCTATCGCGATAATGTTTTCACAAGAAATCGATTTTTTCCGCACAACACTGACAATAATATCAGTCTGTCGGGAAAATAACGGCGGATCGCCGCGCCTTGGAAACGCCCATGATTGCCTTGCGACGGCAAGCCGCACCTGGAAATTTGGTGCGCAACTGCACCCAATTCTTTAACATTTTGCTGCGACGACCCGCCGTTATTTTCCCGACAAGATATTATGAGCAAAAAGTGTTTCTTCTTTGACCGCGATTCGCGTATTCTCCCGGCCGCAAAGACCGTTGAATATCTCGGCTGCGGCTCACGGCATTCTGTACTTTTGGGACACAACCGATCTCCGCGACTTTTTCAATTTTTTTCGTAGTGCGCTTGCTTTCTCTCTCCATATCTCGCTAGCCATTTGAGCTAAAAAGCAGAAATTTGGCATGGGAGTAGATTAAAAAGCCAGCTTTCAGAAAATATATAAATTGTAAGGAACCCCGTCGTATAAACTTCGCAATGACAATTGAAAAAAATTCATTTTTAAACCTTCTGCAACCCAAAAGTGCAAGTTGCAAGATCGTATTGACAAATTTTTTTTTGTCTATGTGTGTCAAATTCGATTCTCTACAAGACAGCCAAATCTCATCTTATTTGATGTGTAGCGAACTGAGTTATGGTTACCGTTACAGTGCTTTTTTTGGTACTTTAAGGATATTTCGGCCCTTAGGGCATCTACAAAGAACTCCACCAACCGAATTATTCATTATGCCTGTAAGTACGATCCTACAAAGTTTCGTTCTTCTAGCTCGAAAAATTGCAACGTTATTCGCATAATTCTTCTTTCAATAGCCAAGCGCTGAGTTTTTTAATTTTCTGCTTGACAATAATGCTCAAGGTATGAATACCACTTAGAAACCTGACACTTGACGGAAACACTCGCAATGAAGACTTCCAAGCCTTCTTCCGATCCAGACTCAAGGCTTAGCCATTCAAGGAAGAACTATGCGAATAAACTTGCCATTTTTCGAGCTCGGTTGTGTCCCAAAAGTACAGAATGCCGTGCGGCTGTGACCAGAGATTGCCTCGGCTCCGGAGCCGGCTCTTGGCTCCGGCTCCGAGCCGGGAGCCAGAGCCGGAGCCGGAAATTTTGGGTGTGGCTCCGGCTCCCGAGCCCAAAGTCGGAGCCAGGCATCTTAGCGTTCGGAAAAGTAAAAATTTCATGATCTTGTTAAACCAAATTGCTTGAAAAATACTGGCAATGATGCGTTGCATACGACCTGGCTGCAAAAACGTGGGGTGTGTGATCTCTGGGCACTAATAACTTCTATTTTTGCAAAACTATTTTAAAAAATTTTTTGGCACGGGAACCGGTATTCGGAGCCGGAGACCTTTTTTTTTGGAGCCAAAATTTCGAGCGTGGCAATCTCTGGCTGGGACCCGCGAGCTGAAATGAAACTTTCGGGAACTGACACGCGGTCTATGCCAAAATTGTGTGCAAAATTTTAAAAAATCATATCGCCGCATTTGCAGTGCTCACTTGCAAAATACGACCCCTTTTTGTAGAAAAATGAAGAAATTTTTTTGTAAATTTAAAAAATGGATTCCAAAGAAAAACCTTTCTTTGTTTTCCGTTCCCGGAGATAACCTTTTTCGCTTCTTGTTTTTTTTGCATCCCGCGAGAAATCCCCGGCAGATCCTTGATTGCGTTTTGTAATTCGCTTGTTGTCGCATCCACTGCGCCAGAGATTATTTTGCACCGTTTTTTTGGTTTTTGAAAAAGCGCAATTTCCGAGGCGATAGATTTCTTTTTTTTTTAATTTTTGAGATTTATTATCAGTCTGTCGGGAAAATAATGTGGGTTTGTCGCAGAAAATGTCTCGCCTCGTCGCAGTTGCGCACAAAATCTCCAGTTAGCCGTCGCAAAGCCATGGTTAACGATTTCGCGGCGCGACGGACCCACAATATTTTTCCGACAGACTGAAGAAAAGTGGCTGGGCTAATTTTTGGCATTTGCACTGTGCGAAAAAAGCCCGGTTGCGACAGCTCAAAAAAAAGCCGTTTGCACGGTGCAAAAAGCAAGAAATTGCACAGTGAAAAGTCAAGTTTGTTCTCGCACAGTGCATGCCGCCGAAATCATTGCAGCGACAAGTTATGGCCAAGTATTGCCGGGAAACGGATCAAACTTTTGAGCCAATCTTTTCAAAGGCACATTACCTTATATATTAATAGTAACGTCATTCCGTCGGGAAAATAAAGTGCATTTAACAACCTGTCGGGGAAATAATGCGGATTTATCAGTCTGTCGGGGAAATAATGTGGGTTTATCAGTCTGTCGGGAAAATAAAGTGCATTTATCAACCTGTCGGGAAAATAATGTGGATTCATCAGTCTGTAGGGAAGATAATGTGGGTTTATCAGTCTGTCGGGAAAATAATGTGGATTTATTAGCCCGCCGGGGGAAATAATGTGGATTTATCAGTCCGCCAGTCTGCTGTTGCCGACAAAAAATCTCCAGTCGCGGCTTAGCTCTCGCAAAGCGATAATGGGCGATTCCAAGATGCAAAAAATCCACATTATTTTCCCGACAGGCTGATAAAAAAAAGTACTGTCAAAATTCGCTGTAAAATGAATGACGACAAAAAAAAATTTTTTATAAAAACGATTTTTACGAAGCTCTTTTTTGACCTGAAATCAACTCGTGTGGCCTCAGCGAAGCCTCTCGATATCATTCGTTATCCAGAGGCTTCTCTGTATTAGAATTTATTGTACAAAGCTCCACTAATAATACGTGTGTATCAGTCCGTCTAGACGCAAAAATGAAGCCTCGAATCCACAACTTCTGGAGGCACTTGCCGACGCGGAAGATTGCCAAAGTCGCCACCATAATTGTCGTCCTGCAAACCGTCTATTTGCTGACCATGCACAACGAACTCATGGACCTCTTCTCGGGCGACGAGGACTTCCCCACAATGCGGCCGATAAATCACACGTTCGAGGACATGGACTCGGTCAAATACATTCAAGATTTGGTGAATGGTAAGACATTTACAAATTGTTGGAAACCGTATTTTACAAATTTTAGGAAAAGCCGAAGTGGCTCCGGTTGTGGAGCCGGAGAAATACCCGGAGATTTATCTGGGCTGCTCCATGGAGGAGACGCGAAATGTGAGTCGCGGATGGATCACGAACGGTCGATGGTTTTTGTACTCCGCCTATGAGGATCGGAGAGCCAACTCGCTGTATCCGAAATTAAAAACTGTCATTCAGGCAAGTGAAATGGGGAAAAACAACAAAAAAAGGGAGGTTGGGCTATCAGTGTGTCGGGAAAGTAATATGGATTTATGAGTTTGTCGGGCAAATAATGTGGATTTCTTAGTTTGTCGGGGAAGTAATGTGGATTTATGAGTCTGTCGGGAAAATAATGCAGAGTTATCAGTTTGTCGGGGAAATAATGTGGATTTCTTAGTTTGTCGGATTTATGAGTCTGTTGGGAAAATAATGCAGACTTATTTTCTTAGATTGAAAATGTCTTGCCTTAAAGACCAAATCCCTAGTCGCGGCTAGACGTCGCAAAGTCATGATGCACGTCAATCCAGCGCATTTCCTGAACCGTTTCGAAACTTCGTATCGTTTTCATTGATTTAAATGAGAGACGAAATGTCGCGAAATTATCGGCACTTTTTCTCGCCCGAAATAATTGTTTTTTCTCGAAAAGGAAGACGAAAGCACAGGGGATTCGTTTTTACTTATAAAAACTTTTATTTACTTATAGGTAAAAATATTTCCCAAAAATTCACTTATAAGTTAAAAAAAGGCGGAGCCTATTTTCATTTACTTATAAGAAATTTTATTTACTTATAAGAACTTTTATATACTTATAATTACCAATAAGGACTCCGAAAAGAAAACAGTTGAGCGCCAAAGACGCTTTTGGCTTTTTGAACGCATGGGCGAGACTTAGAAATTCTAAGTTTTTCGTAGCAGTACTGGTCAAAGAGGGTATTTAAACGTTGGATGGAACAAGGTAAGGGGTTTCTAGTGAGTTTTTTTCTTTTACAGGACTGTAGAAAGTGGGTAGATGAAAAATCCGGAACATAAGAAACTTCCCGATTAGGAAACATGTCAAAATGGAAGAGCAGACAGCCTGGGAAGATCTAGAAACAAGCATGATCAATCAAGAATTTGGATGAAGAACTCTTTCCTCGATTTTGGTAGGTTTTTTAAACTGCTTCCACATATCAGAAGGCCAGAAACTTTTCAAGACATAGTTTTCTTATGTTGTACTAGGTCCAGGTGAACCCACTATTTCAGATAATCACAAAATGTTCGTGGAGGAAGTAAATGGGCAACGTGCACACAATGTCTGGAAAAAATGACTCTCGGATGCCTCAGGTATGTTGATAATATTCACCTGGACCTAGTACAACATGAAAAACTTGATGTCTCGAAATCTCATTGCTAAATTTCTGAACCTCAAACTAATTTTTGGGATGGAAAAGCACAAAAAATGAGTTCAATGAGATCTCATAATAAACTATCTCCGAAAATTTTATTTACTTTTTCTTTATCTTTGACTATTTTCAGTGCATCTAGCTGCAGGAGTACCCATAGAAAATCCGCATAGAAGCAAGTTAGCCCCGTCAGGACACAGAAGATGCGCTAACCACATGTGTAACCGGTAATATATCAGAGTCAAGTTGTTTTTTACTTTGTTTGAATAAATTTTTATTTATCCTGCACTGTGCAAAATTTGCTGTTACCTATAAGTATTTATAATTACCTATAAGTGAATTTCCCGGGCACCGAAAATAAAAATTACCTATAAGTGATTTGAAAATCACTTATAAGAACTTTTATTTACTTATAAAAACTTGAAGTTTTTATAAGTAAATAAAAGTTTTTATAAGTGATTTTGAGTTCCCTGTGAGATAAGAAAATTCTTTTTATCGGATAGTTACATTTCGTTTTGGACGAATCACCAAAAAGGGGCGGGAAATTTTTTCTTCTATTTTGGATTGACGTGTGATGGAAGATTCAAATCCGCAAAGACATTATTTTCCCGACAATTTTTTTTTAGTTTTTTTCTGACCAAAAAATCGAAGGAAAAGTTCATTATACAGTACGACACTCGGACTTGGATATTGTAAACATTTGAAATAACCACGCCATTTGTCGGGAAAATAATGTGGATTCGTCGTGACTTGGAATCGCCCTTCATCGCTTTGCGACTGCTATCGCGAGTGGTGATTTGGTGCGCACCACGCCTTGCTGCGACAAATCCACATTATTTTCCCGGCAGATTTTTTAAACTTTTGCTTTTTGTTGGAAAAAATAAGCTAAAAAATCGAGTTTATAAATATATACTGTTATATTATGCCTCAAGTACGACACTTAGCCATAGATAATACATATGACTTTGTCGGGAAAATAATGTGTATTCGTCGCCGCTTGGAATCACCTTTCATCGCTTTGCGACGGCTAGTGGCGGCTGGTGATTTGGTGCGCTGTAAAGTATGATGCGACTAATCCACATTACTTTCCCGACAAACTAATACTAGGCGGGCCAAAAAGCAAAAAAAAATATCGCTGTGACCGCGTAAAAACATAAATTTTTTCAGCACGAAACTGGCAAAGATACGGCCAAAAAATGCTTTCCTTTCTCTGACCTCTCTCCGCCTTTCGCATGCTCTCTCGGCCACAAACATTGTTGAATATCTCGGCTCTCCCTGCAGAGAGCGAGCTAAAACTTTTAATATTTGATGTGTGGCCTATGCGAAAAGCTTGTGCCAAATTTGAAGAAAATACAAGCGTCGTACTTGTGGTACTTCCCTTATATCCTGTAATAGATATATTTGCCCAAAACTATGTTAAAATACGATTAAAACCAAATTTCTTCTATCTACATATCATGTACAAGGTGTATTTCTATTATCTACAAGATTTTTTTCAGGTGATTGCGTCCACATTCTACGTTGTGGACGACTCGGAGCGTTGGTATTGCCATATCCGCAACTCGGACGGCGAAATGCTCCGCGTTCGCGCGCATTTCCGCCTCATTTGGCAGAGGGCTTGGGATGCGCGCCGGACGTTTTATAATCCCTACTTGATTACGTGCGCCCTGCCCAACGATTTCACGATCTACAAGGGCGCTACGGTAATGTTGAGGGGAAAAAAATGTCCGAATGGAAACGACACCTTCATCGATGTGAATCTGGTGTCCAAAGCGCGGGAAATGGAGCGACATAAAAGATATATGGCAGCGAAACCGGTGGAGATCGGCGAGAATGGGAGGAAAATTGGGAAGATTTTGGAAACAATGGCGAGAAATCGATATGATAGAGGTAAAGGAGGATATAATTATAAGTAAAGTGCTCAATGTACGACGCTCAGATATACTTTGAATTTTGTCCACATAACAGGCATAGACCACATATCAATGCCTGAAAGTTTTAGCTCGCACTTCGCAGGCACAGCCGAGATATTCAACGATCTTTGTTGCCGAGAGAGCACGCGAAACGCGGAGAGCAGTCAGAGAAAGGAGCGCATTTTTTGGCCGTGTCTTTGCCATTCTTTGAGCGGAAAAATTTGATTTTTTTTGTGGAAGTATTATACGTCTACGGTAGGAAATTCAAAGATTTTTGGCTGTAGTGAGAGAGTAAGCAAAACGCGGAGAGCAGTTAGAGAAAGGAACGCATTTTTTGGTCGTATCTTTGCCAGTTTTGCGCGGAAAAAATTGATTTTTTGTGGAAACATTACTCTCTACAATAGAAATAGGTATCATAACGACATAATTTAAAAAAAAAATTTTTTTTTTAATTTTTATGAATTTTTACATGAAAAAAATATCTCACGATCAGATTTCCTCTAAATTTTGCATACTTTTTTGGCATAGATCACGTATCAATTCCTGAAAGTTTTAGCTCGCAGTTTGCAGGCACAGCCGAGATATTCAACGGCGTTTGCCGCCGAGAGAGTATTCGAAACGCGGAGTGCGGCCAGAGAGAAGCCACTTCTTGGCCATGTTCTTGGCCATTTTTGAGCGGAAAAGAATTGGTTTTTTGTGGAAATATGTATTATACGTATACAGTAGGAATTGCAAAGATTTTTGACTGTAGTGAGAGAGCACTAGAAAAGCGGAGAGCGGTCAGAGAAAAGGCACTTTTTTGGCCGTCTCTTTGCCAGTTTCGCTTGGAAAAAATTTATTTTTTGTGGAAACATTACCCTCTACAATAGAAATAGCTACGAAAATTTTCATACCAAAATTCGCAAAAAAATGTAAAATTTTTTCAACTTTCGACCAAAAAATCTCGGTCGTCTCTGCATAGCGCGAGCTTAAAATCTAAAAGACGTCCTATGAAAGTCTATTCTACATTTCTATAAAACATCATCGAGTTTTTTGAGTAAAAATTTCAAAATTTTGGGTCTCGACACGAAAACGATAATTTTTTAAAATTCAAAGATTCATGTAAAAAATCAAAAATCTGTTCATTTGGGTAAAATTACAATTGATTTTGAGGCTTGGTAATATGTTTCATCAAAATTTTGAAAAAAAAAAATTTTTTGAATTTTTGCCACTTTTTGATCTCAGAATCTCAAAAAAAAATATCTAAAATAAAAATTTCATCAACATCTGAGAATCACACTTCAACCACTTTTCCCTCCGAATTCTTATCTCATTTTTCAGTCAAATTAGAAGACAAACAAGCCGCTTTAAACGAGGACGAGGCCAAGATTTCGATCAAGCAGATCGACATCGCCCCAAGCCCTCTAAAAATCGCGGTCTGCGTGAAAGGCATGGACTTCTTCGAGGACAAAACCTACGATCTCACCGAATGGCTGCTTTTCCAGTTCAAATTGGGGGCGGATTCGGTTACGTTGTACGTCTACCATCTGCCGGAAAGGACGCTGAGAATGCTGAATGAAGTCGCGAGAGAGTACGACTTGCGATTGGTGAGCAGACTTGATATTTTTTGTGCCAGTTTGTGGTGCTTGGGGCAAGATAAAATATTTTTTGCAAAAATTTGTGAAAAACTTGATTTTTTTGGCGAAAACTTAATGTTTTGGCATTCTGTTGCAAGTACGCATTTTCGCGGGAAATGCGATAATGACAAATTTTAATGCACCTTGACTGTTCTTAGAGAGAAATAAAGCGATAAAAATCAGATTTCAAAGTTTGTCGGGGAAATAATGAGCACTCTGTCGCATCGAAAATCGCACCGCCGCAGCGACGCGGTGGGAAAAAGCGGACGTTTTCGGGGATATTTGGATGCACGGTGCATAAACTAAAAGTGCAAGGTGCAAATTTGTGTCGGCACAGTGCATTTTGCCTGGAGACGAAAAGTCTGCGCACTTAATGAATAAGTAGCATAATGATGAATACAGTGACCGACCTGATCCAGTGGCAAAAACGTACCATTTTGCATCTGGGAAGTATCAAAAAACATCGCAAAATACCTCCCTCTCCAAACAAAGAAACCCCTTTGAAATCGGAGTTTTTTTAAAAAAATCCGAATCTTGGCCAATTTTCGACCTAAAGATGTCGATTTTTCCTGTTCAGCGCAACCTGAAAGTCTCGCATTCCGATCTGAGAAGTTATTGATCTACAGTGGCGGATCTGATCCAGTAGCAAAAAACGTACCATTTTGCATCCGGGAAGTGTCAAAAAATGTGGCAAAATGCCTCCCTCATCAATTAAAAAACTCCGTTTTGAAGGGCGCAAGAGTTTTTTTACTTGCAGAGGGAGGTATTTTGCTACATTTTTTGATACTTCCCGGATGCAAAATGGTACTTTTTTGTCACTGGATCAGGTAGCTCTAATTACTTCATTCCCCTTCCAGATTCATCTCGACCTGCCCGGGAACACCACCCTCTCCGACCACCAACAACACGACTACATTTGGAACAACCATTACCAGAAGCGGCGCAACGAACTGATCCCCTACAACGACTGTTTCTACGCCTACAGCCACACACACGACTATGTGCTCATCGTCGACACGGACGAGATTGTGGTGCCGGTGGAGGAGGAGAACTGGAACGACATGATTTCGAAGTTCATTCGAGGATTCAGACAGAATGCTACGAGTTTGTCCGCACGGAATGTTTTTAAATTCCCGAGGAAAGGCGATGGAGTCGGAATGAGTGGCCGACGAACACGGGCCTCGATCGCGCAAGACAAGGGCGTCACGGGGAAGAGTTTTATCAGGTGGGCTTCATTCCAAGAGATGCACCAGGTGTAACGCTCAGATTTTGTCTCATTACCAGTCTGTCGGGAAAATAAGGAGCACTCTGTCGCAGCGAAAAAAATAAATGAATTGTGCGACTGCGGGACCAGATTTTTGCTGCGACGAATCCACATTATTTTCCGGACAGACTGATATGAGAGATACGATATTAGTCTGTCGGGAAAATAATAAGCACTCTGTCGCAGCAAAAATCGCAATGGCCGCCGAGAAAATGAATTGTGTCGCGGCAAAATCAAATTGCTTTTCACTTCAGCGACGCGGCAACATTGTGCTCATTATTTTCCCGACAGACTGCTAAATCGTCCCAAAGGTCATCGCCGCGCTGATTTTTTGAGGTTTGCGCAGTGCAGAAAAAAGCAGGTGCGAGCGACGACCCAAAAACCCATTGCACGGTGCAAAAAAAAGAGATTGCACAGTGCAAGATGAACCTTTGTTTTCGCACAGTGCGATTTCTGTCGCAATCTGAAAAATTGATGTCGCTGGAAAAAATGGGAGTCGCGCGCGACGTAAAGCAGAAACAAATGAAAATGCACTGTGCAAAAAGTGTTTTCGGGTCAAGTGCACCGTGCAAAGCGACTTTTTTCGCGATTTTCGCAGCGACGACCCAAAACTTGCACACCCGCGCGGTGCGAAATTATCAGGATTTTTTGTAGCGAGTAGGCCATCAAATTTAGCCATGGCTCTTGAAACAGTTACTGAATTTTCTCGTCTTTCAGCACACAAACCGCAGCGACCGTCTTCAACCACTTTGCATTACATCGATTGCACGGGAATGTTGCCCGAACCGCCTACTTCCCCACCTCCGCGGCGTTGAAGCTGCATTACAAGACGGATTGCCCAACGGACTTCCGAGACGAGTGTGACCGACTGAAGAACTCGTCCATTCCGGACCACAGCCTCGACCGATGGAGCGAAGAAGTCGCGGAACAGGCAAAAGAATTCATCAAACGGGTTGATTAGAGGAGTAATAACAGAGAGCTTTAGGCTGTAAATGCAAATAAAGTATAATAATAAAGTTTATGAAGTGTCAGTTTGTCGGTAAAATAGTGAGCACCCAGTATTCATGCAAAAAGTCTTATAAAGTCTTATAAGTTTCTCACTACAGGTGTTTCAAGAAATTCCGTGGAAATTTTTTGTCGATTCCTTAGCGCTCAGTCAAGATATCCAAAAAATTTTTTTTGCATAATAAAAAAGAGTATGGGCGGTTTTTTGCTTAAGAAAATCATTTTCTCCGCCAATGCGGAAGGCAGTGTATTCGGCGGAGACTTTTGGGCACTTTTTTTGGTCATCACATGACTTTGGATATCCGCAGTATTGACATGGAGAGCTACTACTACTATTTCTTTACATATATGATAGTAGAGGTCCTCCAACGAATTGGAGGACCTTCATTTGAAGTCTTGGCGACGCTATAAAAAGTTTTTATGCTTCACTTTCGAAAAGTCACACTTTTGAAAATTGCGATCGGAACATGGTCAACTTGAACCCCCGAGAAAAAAGTTACAGTAAAGTTATACCCCCATTTTTATTGTGAATATATTGTTTTAACATCGCTATTTGTAGGGTCAAAAAATGTCCACAAATACCTTATCCCAGAGTCAGATACCGCCATCAAATTTTTGTCCATTTTTTTGGCGCACCCTGTACTTGTCGTTCCGTGACGGTTTTTTTAATCTTGCAAACGACCTGAAAATTATTTACCATTGTTCCTCAAAGGTCAGTTTCCTTTCATAATATGAAATATTATTCATTCGAATTCCCGACAAAAAGTTCTCCTAAACTTTAAACTAAACCCGTTTCATGCTTGTTTATACCAAAATTTTGAAATCATCTTTTCCAGGAACTTTTTGGGAGGCAAAACAAAAGCTGCATCAACAGAAGGCTTATGTGGATTTGTGGGGAATTGGGGGAAATTTTATGCTAAATACCTTATTCGGAAAAGGGAAGATGATTTTGATGAGATTTGGTATAAATTTAGACTCATTTTTGAAGATATCAGAAGAAATGAAATCTGTTGGGAAAATATGTGGATTTGTTGCAGAAAGAAGTCTCGTCTCAACACAGTCGCACACCAAATCTCCAACCGCGGCTGGCAGCGAGGATGGGCGATTCCAAGGCGCGACGAGTCCACATTATTTTCCCGACAGTTGCTAGAGCGATTTTTGGCATTTGCACAGCCCAAATCATGGACTACAACATATCTTATCAGTCGGTCGGGAAAATAATGTGGAGTTTTAAATCTGTCGGGAAAATAATGTGCAGTTTTTTATCTGTCAGGAAAATAATGTGGATTTATCAGTCTGTCGGGAAAATAATGTGGATTTTTCAGTCTGTCGGGAAAATAATATGGATTTTTCAGTCTGTCGGGAAAATAATATGGATTTATCAGTCTGTCGGGAAAATAATGTGGATTTTTTAACCTGTCGGGAAAATAACGCCCTTTTTACGAGCACACTGTCGCATCGAAAATCGCAACGCCGCCGAGAAAATGAATTGTGCTTTTCACTTCAGCGACACGTCCGTCATTGTTCTTATTATTTTCCCGACGGGCTGGCACAAGTAGAATATTTTACATATATTATACATCTAATCGTATTATCAACCTGTCGGGAAAATAATGCGGATTTTTCGGATCAAAATGTCTGACAGGTCCACATTATTTTCCCGACAGACTGATAAGTTAATCAAGACTTTTCGACCCAACTAGTGGTGAAGGCGCCGTGTTTCATCCAGATCTGTGCGTAAAACCACAATTTTTATGATTCTGTCGGGAAAATAATGTGGATTTGTCGCAAAATGTCTTTACTCGTCGCAGTCTGATAAATCCACATTATTTTCAAGACAGGCCGATAAAACCACATTATTTTCAAGACAGACTGATAAATCCACATTATTTTTCCGACACACTGATAAATCCACATTATTTTCAAGACAGGCCGATAAATCCACATTATTTTCTCGACGGAGTTATAAATCCACATTATTTTCCCGACAGACTGATAAATCCACATTATTTTCCCGACACACTGATTAATCCGCATTATTTTCCCGCCACACTGATAAATCCACATTATTTTCCCGACAGGCTCATAAATCCACATTATTTTCCCGACGGAGTTATAAATCCACATTATTTTCCCGACAGACTGATATTTTTACCAAAAATTTTCTGAAAATTTCCCATCGCAATTTCTCCAACCCTTCATGGATTTATGAAAGTGAAATCATAATTTTTACGACTGGTTTCTTGGCCTTTGACCGTCCAATCGGCGTCGCGGACGCCTGATTTCCGATTCATAACCAAAACAGCTGAATCACTTGCCAATTTTCGCGAACACCGAACGGTCCCTCATCCCAACGCCCGCTGACGTGTCCCCCGTTCCCCGGGGGGTTCGAATCCGCCCGCTCTCCAATCCAATGTTATTTATTCGCGTCGCTCCGCACGGATCGCGACCATTCGCGACTGTGCAAGCGGATCATGAAGCGGCTGTTCATTTTCGCCTCATTTCTCGCTATTTTTTGCATGGCCTTCCCGCAGCTCGACCCCAAGAATGGGCTCGCCTACGACTCGGAGGCGGTGAAAAAGTTGGGCGAGAGCCTGAATGATGCCAAGGAGAAGGAGGAGTACGGGAAGTTTGTGGAGTTCATGAAGAAGTAGGTGAATTTTCAGGGCATTTGTGGGGGAAATCTTCAATTTTTGAGGGATGGCCGGTTTGTCGGGAAAATAATGAGCACTCTGGGTAAAAGTTCCTTATTTTGGCCACAACTTATATAATAACTTTGCGGAAACTGGTCGGAATTAGCCCAAATTTAGCGTGCACGCTCAATTCATCGTTCTCAATGCCCGGACGTGGATTTAGTTAGTGAGGTACCTTCTTTTTTACGTACCATCTTACCCTTCAAAAACGGCTGCAGCCTGTGATTTTACACTTTATACGATGAAACATGTCCGGAACTAAACTTTTTGCCTCCGTATTTAACTAAATGAGTCGTCACAGCCTTCGTAGGTACCCTTAAAACTATAGAGCTATTATAGTAATTCAGTACCAGCTAGGTCGAAGCGTTTTTTCCTAACTTTAGTGCCCAAGCTTGGGCGCAGTTCGCGAAGTACCTTTGTTGTGGCCAAAATAACGAACTTTTTCCCTAATTTTTTATGGGAACTCTAGAGAGTACTACTAGTCGTATACAACTGTTTTTTATACCGCTGGTACATTCTAAATGGGTGTCATCGTGACGCATTTTCTGAACACGCAATTTTTAGCCAATTTGTTACAAAAAAACTACACTTTTTATAGCCATCTGATCCCGCTCCCTCAAAAAAATGTATTTTTTTTTTGAAATTCCCAAAAAAATTTCTCTGCCCACGGCCAAAAAAAACTGTTTTTTGCACTTTATTATTTTCAAATTTGCAAAAATTTTTTTGAAAAAAATTTTCTTTTGTTTGCATTTCAAAAAAAAATTTCAAAATTTTGAAAATTTTTTTTCAGATACGACCGTAAATATGTGAACGAAGAGGAGCTGAAGAAGCGATTTGGCGTGTTCCAGCAGTCGCTGGCAAGAGCGGCGGAACAGCAGAAGAAGGACACGGGAACCGCCGTGTACGGTCCCACAAAATTCTCGGATTACACTCTCGAGGAGTTCAAAAAGGTGCGATTTTTTGATGAATTTCCGGATTTTTCTCTATTATTGGGGATTACAGTAGGATTTTTGGTGACAAATATGTTTGCGATATGATTTTTGAAGGCTTCAAAGTGCAACATGGGGATTTTGAACATTTGTAGGAGATTGAGCAAAAATTTTTTGGGTTTATAAGAGGGATTGTATTGATAGTCGTTTCATAAAGCGCGTAGATTTTTCGTAGCAGCGCTTTTTGCAGTGTGCAATTCAAAAAGCGACAAAAATTGCACAGTACGACGAAAAAAGCATTGTCGCCGCAAAAAAGTCTACGTACTTTATGAAACGACTAGTAGTACGTTTGCAAAGTTGCTGAAGTGATTTTGGCGACATGCACTGTGCGAAGGTTAAGTTTGCACTGTGCAATTCCTGGCTTTTTGCACCGTGCAATAGACTTTTTTCGACTGTCGCTCGCACCCCGATCTTTCTTTGCATAGTGCTAGTCGCTAAGATCACTCCAGCGACTTTGCAAACAGGCTACTAATCGTTCCCGAAAGTGTGTAGGCTTTTTTCGCGGCGCACAGTGCTTTTTTTCTCTTTTTGCACTGTGCAATTGTTGTTGCACGTCGATTGCGACGAAAAGTCTACGCATTTTCTGCAACGACAAGTATCAGTCTGTCGGGAAAATAATGAACACTCTGTCGCATCGAAAGCAGCATCGCCGCCGAGAAAATTAATTGGGTCGTGACAAAATCAAATTGCTTTTGACTTCAGCGACGCGTTTGGCGCAGCAACAGAATTTTTATTATTTTCCCGACAGAATAACTCTGTAAAAAGTGATTGTTTTTGATCTAATCGATAAACACGGTCTTTTCAGATGAACGGCGCCCGTCCACCAAAGTAATCCATCTGCTTAAATTTACTGGTTGAATGTGGCTTATGATAGCATATCTACAATAAATTTTTATTTGCTTTTTTTATTTTCAATTTTCTTTCTGTTCTTCTGTTTTTTTTTTTTTGAATTTTTGAGTTAACGGCTTTTAGACGAAATGTCAAAAAAATGTGACATTTCGTCCACATTGGGCTAGGGGCGACGACACTTCGGGTCAACATAAAACCGATTGAATGGAAGGCTAGGACGGCCAAAGAAGTTTGTACGGGGTGGCTACAACGCCTGTGAAACCCGTTGAATTATCGGCGGAGATTCGGCGAAGGCTCGGCGGAGACTTAAACTATGACCACTTTCTCTAACTTTAGCTATTGCTAAGCCTGCTTTTCTTAATCCTGAGTTACTCTAGCATGGAGAGGAGCAAAAATGACTCCAAAAACGAAGATCCCTACGTTATATTCGGGTATTTTTGCAGTAATATATGCAAAATGTCTCGAAATCCTCAAAATAAGTGATCAACTTCATTTGAGAAGCTTTCCCAATTAGCATTTTCAGCGGATTTTCATTCGCATTTGCCTCCTTTTTAGTTGGTTTTTCCCCACTTATCCTTCCTTTTAACTCGTACTAACTGTCTCCCTAAAACCACTAAATTTTTGCGCCTCCTCCACGATCAGTTCGGCTGCAATTTTGCCGACGGTGATGATGACTCTGGCCTATCTTCTGGCATAAATCTGAGGCAAACAAAGAGCCTCTCTGGCATTGTGATGTTGTTCTCCGTAATAAAAACTACATGTTGCTTTTGTAATTGTGAATCGTAACGCTTTTTACATGTTAATCTGGGTTTCGCTTTTTTGTGTGAATAAATGAATGTAGTACACCGATTTTTTGCCCAATTTAGGGTTCTCTTCCTGCTACAGTTCGCAAAACGTCGGCAATACGCCTCATGCAACTGTAATCTTAACCTGTTCCAAGTACGCCCGTCAATTTTGCAAAGTTTGAAGAAATTTGGCACACATTTAAAATGGCTTTGCAGAGACGACCAAGATTGTTAGGAAAAGGTAAAAAAACAGGGATTTTTTAGTAATTTTTACATGAAAAGTTTCACACCTATTTCTACCGATTGATTTTTTCCGCACAAAACTTGAAAGTTTTCGCTAAAAAGTGTTTTTCTCTCTGACCTCTCGGCCATCACTATTTAGCAAGCCTTCTCTGGTGAGCCCCAAATTTAGAATATAACTCTGTCGGGAAAATAATGTGGATTTGTGGTACCAAAATGTCTCGCCTCGTCATAAATTAGGTACAATCCCATACCAAATTCGAAAGTATGGTGTGTGACACTATGGCGCAACGAATCCTTATTATTTTCCCGACAGACTCGTAGATTTGCTAATTTGCGAGATTTTTAGTTGGCCTTCACTTTTGAGCCGAAATGACGTCATATTTTAGAATCCACATTATTTTCCCGACAGACTGGGAAAATTTTTTTCGCCTTGTTTTTAAGAAAAATGACGTCATATTTTAGAATTCACATTATTTTCCCGACAGACTGATAGATTTTCCAATTTATGCAAAATTTTTTTCATCTTCCTTTTATGAAAAATGACGTCATATTTTAGAATCCACATTATTTTCCCGACAGACTGGTAGATTTGCCAATTTACCCAAACTTTTTTCGCCTCCCTTTTAAGAAAAATGACGTCATATATTATAATCCACATTATTTTCTCGACAGTCTAGGCAAATTTTTTTCGCCTTCCTTTAAAAAAATGACGTCATATTTCTGAAAAATCCATCAAATTAACAACCCTAGCCCCAAATATCATCAAAACCCAAGAATAAGCCACTTGGTGCCAACCCTCCCCATGGACAACAAGACCCGCCTCAAAATTTTATGGATAACCGCAAAAGAATGCTCGAGCCCAACGCATGAGGGCGCGCTATCACCGCAGCGGGCCCCGAGCGGTGTTCCGCTATCAGCCAAAAGCGGGGAATTTTAATCGCTTTCGGGAGAGAGGAGGTATCATGTTGTTTATGGGCGCTTTTACGGTCGCAACTTGAATGTTTTCGGGAAAGAGTGGCTATTCCCTCAAACCGACTCGCTAAACGCACGCCGCTGCAGACGTTGGGAAAGCGGCTGAGAATTTGGCGAAAATGTTCGCCGTCCGACAGCAGCCCCGCTACTTGCTGCACCATGGGCACTTCAAGGACGTGGAGGGCGAGGTAAACTTCTGGCTGATTGATGGGGTTTTTGTTCCAATTGGCGAAAAATTCGGAAAATTCTTTAACTCTCCGCAAATTTAACTGCTTTTACAAGTCTTCTACTCAACGTTCAAGGATCAAAAAATTGAAATTTCGGTCGAATTTTGGGACTTTTTGTCATTTTACTGTCATCTCCCTCCGTTTGCGGTTGAAAAGCCCATAAAACTTTTCGAAACTTCTTGAAATGACTATGGAAAATCCGGTAGACCCTTCGAATGATCCCTTGGCAGAGTTGGTAAGTCTTGGCGATATTAGAAAAGCCATTTATTTTGAGATTTTACTTAACTTTTACCAGGTATAACGTGTGTTTTGACGGAATCAACTAGTTTTTTGCGGATTTTGATGCAACTTTGAGGCACTCTGGGGAAAAATTTCCTTATTTTGGCCACAACAAAGGTATTCCGCGAACTGCGCCCAAGCTTGGGCACTAAAGTTAGAAAGACACGCTTCGAAATAAGTTTAGTTCCGGACATGTATCATGTATAAAGTGTAAAATCACAGGCTGCAGCCGTTTTTGAAGGGTAAGGTGGTACGTAAAAAAGAAGGTACCTCACTAACTAAATCCACTGTCCGGGCATTGACAACGATGAATTGAGCGTGCACGCTAAATTTGGGCTTATTCCGACCAGTTTCCGCAAAGTTATAAGTTGTGGCCAAAATAAGGAACTTTTACCCAATCTGGATCACAAGTCTGATATTTTAGCGCAAAATTTCTCGAGTCAAATCGAATGGAAGGTCGCGATGGCCCGATTTTACGACGGGTTTATGCTAATGTAGACAAAGGCGATTGTAGAAACAAAATTTTTTGGATTGGACCACAATTTTCCAAGGAATTTACCAGATTTTTTACCTCGCGCTTTGCAGAAACCATCGAAATTTTTAGGTCAAAAAATTTTCAGACCTTTTTCGACCCAAAAATCTCGATGGTTTCTGCAAAACGCTGGCTAAAAATCTGGCAAATTCCTTGGAAACTTGTGATCCAAAATTTGCCTCAAGTTCCATTAAAATTCCCTACAATGGGGGACCCGATCCAGTGGCAAAAAACGTATCATTTTACATCCAGGAAGCATCAAAAAATGTGGCAAAGTACCTCCCTCTCCAAGTGAAAAAACTCAGATTTCAAAAGCGCGCCCGCTTTTTTATGAGCAAAAAGGGCGTGCCCTTCAAAACAAAGTTTTTTTCACTTGGAGAGGGAAGCATTTTGCCACATTTTTTGATACTAATCGGATGCAAAATGGTAGGTTTTTTGCCACTGGATCTGGTCCCCCACTGTAAATTTTTCCTCCCAAAAAATCCAAGAAAACGATGACAAATCCAAAAAATTTTGTTTTTACAACCGCCTCGTAGGCCCTCCATTCGTCTACATTAGCATAAAGCCGTCGTAAAATCAGGCATCGCGCCCTTCCATTCGATTTGACGCGAGAAATTTTTGCGCTAAAATATCAAAAGGCCGCCACATTTCCCTTTTTTTCGTGTTTTCCGCCTCCCATTTTCGCCGAATTTTTTACGCGCCGGTAAAGGTGGCGTAACGTTGTGAGATCTCTCCTAATTTTTCGATAAAAATTTCTTTTTTTGATCAAGAAAATTTTTTGGAGAATTCCAATGATTCTTTTCGCTTTTTTTCGACCTGACTGAACTTGACATTTTTCGTCGAATTTCGAATTGAAATCCAATCCGTTTGAGGCGGCCTTGCGCGCTCTTTTGTACGTCTCGCTGGCTTAATTTTCGTAATTGCGCTCTTAGTTTTGCGGAAGTTGTGCGGGTTTTTGTGTGGGTATGGCATCGAAAAATGTCGACAAGTTTTCACGGTGTGCAGACAGGTCTAGTGCACGACTAGTCGAGACATTTTTCTGCGATTTGCAGCGACAAATCCACATTATTTTCCCGACAGATTTGATACTATGATTATAAGAATCTATTCGGTTGTTATCTAGGATTTGAAATGAAGCGAAGATAAAATATTTGCTTGATTAAAACTAGGGTAGATTATTTGCCTATTGATAAAAACCCGCAAAAAGTTAGCGAAGAGGTTTGGAACTTGGCTGTTTATTTGCCTAATTCCTAGAGATAGTCATGTTCTGTGATAGCTTGGTGAGTTTTTCACTCAAAAAATGGAAAAAAGAGATCTTTGGAAGCTTTCGACCAAAGAATCTCGATTTCAGGGATGGCCGAGATAGTGCGCATTGTAAGGAATGCATTCATTGAGAAAAACACTTTTTGGCCGTATCTTCGCCATTTTCACGTGGAAAAAACTAATTTGTTGTGCCAACATTACTCTCTATGGTAGAAATAATCATGAATTGATACGACCACTCTTACTTTTTAAACGACCATCAAAGCAAAAAGTTTTTTTATGAGAAAAGTCCGGAAACATTGGGAGTTGAACTCGAACGGGGAAAAAGGCAAAGTTTTAATATCGTATTTGCAGCTGGAAAGAAAATGCCAAGTCCTCCAGGCATGCTTATGGTACTGGGCGGGCCAAAAAGTCTTGACATGTTTGCAATGTGCGCTGTCGCGCAAAAAACATGCCTTGTGACGAGTAAAACGTACTTTGCATGCTGACCACGGACAGTGCGAAATGAATTGTTTTTGAAATGGGTTGAAAAGTGTATAGTGCGATTTTCATCCGCACTGTGCTTTGATTACCCTTTCAAAACAATTCATTTCGCACTGTGCGCGGTCGGCATGCACCGTAAATTTTACTCGTCACAAGGCATGTTTTTTGCGCGATGGCGCACATTGCAAACATGTCAAGACTTTTCGTCCCGCCTAGTACAACAAGCATGCCTCGAGGACTTGGCATTTCCTTTCCAGCTGCAAACACTATATTAAAACTTTGCCATTTTCCCCGTTGAAGTTCAACTCCCAATGCTTCCGCACTTTTCCCATAAAAACGTTTTGCTTTGATGGTCGTTTAAAAAGTAAGAGTGGTCGTATCAATTCATGAAACTCATTTCATTCCGCAGGTTTTTATATCCCCCACAGAGAGTCGTGGGGGGAAGAGACTTTCGATTTGTTGTTTGATCCGCTTTGAGAAGACCTTTGGAAAGTTGTTTTTAACCGCCTGTAAAGAGATCGCTTTGATACTCTTTGACGTCATTACGTTGTAAAGTTGGGTGTGAAAAATAGGGTCAGGGTTGGTGTGAAGGTTGCAATATATGCAACCCATGCTAACATAGTTTTTTATCAAAAGATTTCTTAGAAGTTGATCTGTAGTAAAGAAAGCAGAATCTATTGCATAGCGAATCCGACCCCTTTTGGGCCCCTTCTGGCCCCATGTGGATGGAAATGTTGAAAGTGGCAGATCCAGGTCGATTTTTTGAGGGCCGGGCTTATGACTCGACGTTTGTTTTTAGCCCGGCTGCAAAAAAATCGGGCTGGATCGGCCACTTTCAAAATTTCCACCACACAAGAGGCCGGAAGAGGTCCAAAAGGGCCGAATTCCCTATTTAGATGCTCCTTTCGGTACTACAAACCAATTTATAAGGCATCCAGCCATGTCTGAGAGCGCCTTTGATACTTTTTTGATACCAAATACGGCTCTCACGCCGCTCTTTCTCGACTTTTTTGTCGCTGAAAGCCGAGAAAATTTCAGTTAGAAAAAACTCAAAAAAGAGATTAAACTAAGCCCGCGTTTGCTATCAAAACGCATCATAGAGACAAAAAAGACCGTTGGTTCAACAACAATATCTCTCTTCTGTCTCTATGATACTGCTTGATGCCAAGTTTGGGCTTGGTTTGACCTCTTTTTTGAGCTTTTAGCTGACTGAAATTTTCTCGGTTTTGATCGACCAAAAAGTCGAAAAGAAGTGGCGTGGTGCTCGTATTTGGTATCAAAAAGTATCATAGAGACACGGAAGTTCCTTTTAATACGTTTTGATACATTCAGACACTAATCTCTTTTTGTGATTGCTTAATTCCGCCAATTTGTAACCCGGCATCTTATCTTGCCCCAGAATCCTACTCCTTCCTTACTATAAATTGGACACTCCCTTCTGAAGATTTCGTCCGTTCGCTTTTTGCTCTTTTTCCCCCATTTTTTGACTACTTTTTCCCGCAAAACCCTTAAGAAGTATTGTCAAAGAAGGACGCCACCCAAGTTCCTGTCACTCCAATAGAAGTCTATAATATACTGTGTTCGTATCCCTTCGCTTTTCCGAGCAAAATAGTAATTCAAGCAGTAAATATCGGAGATACGACGCTAACTTGATTATCATACGGAAAAATTAGGTCCGAATGATAAATAAAGCTTGTATGAGGGCTGTTACTGTTGGAGTTTGTGGGTAATAGCATTTTTAATTAGTTTTGAAGGTGATTTTAACCAGCAAAAGGTGAATTGCCTCGATTTTTCTTGTTTTTATCGGCAAAAGGTTAAAAATAGGGCAGTTTTCTTTTTATTTTCGACTGTTTATCGTTTGAATCTTAAAATAAGATTGTTGAAGGCCAGCTTGGGCTCTGCAACAGCTTGTAAAGATGTTTCAGAGCCTAATGGCATCATTTTGATATAAAATAATGCTATTTCTGCCAAAAAAATTTAATTTTGACATCAAATCTATGCAGTTCCTTATCAAAAAACTAGGATTTTTACCAGTCTAATCAATTTTTCTAAAATTTTATACCTAAACCAATACTGCTTGGTCTAAAATACGACTTCCTCATGACTCCCCGCCACCTAACGAACCCATTCCCTCTAATTAGAAGCGGCGATTCGTCCCGCTCTCGACTGATCGCACAATTTGTGTCCTCGGACGTCTTTGTGTCCTTTTGTACGCTCCCCTTTTCATTACGGCCAAATCAAAGATTTCTTTTCCGTTTTTTTTTGTGATTCCGGTCCTCGGAATTCTCCCACCAAATTTTTTGTCAGAGTTTTGTTTGTCTTTATGAAGGTTCGGTCCACTAGCCAGCGCGAATTGATGGAATAAGCGGGCATTTGGGAGTGGGAAATCAAAATTCTTTGGGATCAGAAGGGGCATGGATAATATAATATAATTTGGACTATAAATCGATGTGTCACACCGTTTTACACACCTTATCAGCTGTCTTATGGTCTATAGCAACTTTTATATTAGACTAGACCACTTTTTACATTATTTTACACCTAAAAATGGCTAAATTATCTTATTCTAGCCATTTATGTGCCTGTTTCTAAAGTTAGAGCTTTTCATTTTGTTTTACCCATAAATTCCGGCAATTTACGGCCTTATCTTGTTGCTAACCAACTGATAAGGCCGTTCCAAGCCAATATGAATCATACAAGAGGCGGAACTGCGAAAATTTTTAATTATATTACACTAGATGAATGGATGAAAGAAAAAATGTTTTGAGAACCTCTCGGAATGGAAATTGAGGAATAAAAAGAGCAGAATAAATCGAGTTCGGGAGGAAATTCGAGATTTTGACGAGAAATTTGGAACGGGTCGAGTCTCTCCCTCACGAAAGTCTTTCTCTCGCCGAAAAAAGGAAATTTTTGGTGGTAAAGTCGGAAATCTTGCAGTTGTCGCCACGCTCCTTACGCTAGACGTTGTTGGCGCTTTGAGTTTTCATTTTGCTCTTCAATTTGCCTGAAATTTTTGGGAAATCCCAGAATATTTTCGTTTTTTTATATTATCCTTGCAGAAAGTGGATCCGGAGACGATTTACACGCGCCAGGAGCGCATCGGGCGTGGCTCCTTCGGCGAGGTTTACAAGGGAATTGACAACCGTGATGGGCGCACCGTCGCCATCAAGATTATCGACCTGGAGCAGGCCGAAGATGAGATCGAAGACATTCAGCAAGAGATCATGGTGCTCTCGCAGTGTGAATCCAACTGCGTAACGAGATATTATGGGTCATACTTGAAGGTGAGAGGTTGCTTTTTGAATTGGTTTTGGAATTTTAGAAAGAGGAAGACGATATTATGTTAGAGTAGTATCTGAGAGGAAAAAATGAAGCTCTGCATTTTTTCCAATGTGATTGTAGGCAAAACTCATTTTAAAAAGATTGACTGGGGCCTTATCGATCGTTTTTACGGAATTATATTTGCTGGGAAGCGCCAGATTAGTTAATTCCAGCTATTTTTTGTTGGTTTAGGTATCAAGATGAATATATTTTCAATTAACGGTTGAATTGTCCTCATAAAGAGCTGAAATTCTTTCTCATCTCACATGCATGATTTTTGCAGCTGCTGAATCACTTCTTTGGTATTTGTATCCTTTTATCCCATGTAAATCTTGATATTATACTGGACACCTACCTCAAACTTTCCTTAACTTCTCCTGCCTTTCAGGGTTCGAAACTATGGATAATAATGGAGTATCTTGGAGGTGGATCCGTCCTAGATCTAGTGAAATCGGGAAAACTTGATGAGAACCACATTGCCGTCATTATTCGAGAAGTTTTGAAAGGCCTCGACTACCTGCATACTGAACGAAAAATCCATCGGGACATCAAAGCGGCGAACGTTTTGTTGTCGGAGAATGGTGAAGTAAAACTGGCTGACTTTGGAGTTGCTGTTCAATTGAGTGAAACCGTCAAAAAGCGGATGACTTTTGTTGGGACACCGTTTTGGATGGCGTAGGTTGATTTTGATCTTTTTTGGTTGAATTTTAGGTGAAATGTGGACAATATTTGCTGGAATGGGTCTAATAAACCTTGTTTATTAAATTTTTCACGATTGATATTGAGTCTTCTCTGATTTTTGAGCATTTTTGTCACTTCTCTGAAGTTTTTCTCATGTGTAATATAAAAAATATAAAAAAAGTCCCAGTTTATGGCTTAAAAATTCTGATTGCTGATTCCAATCTTATATCCTTTTATTTACAGCCCAGAAGTGATAAAACAGGCCTCGTACGACTTCAAAGCCGACATCTGGAGTCTTGGGATTATGGCCATTGAGATGGCGAATGGAGAGCCCCCGAACGCGGACCTCCACCCAATGCGAGTATTATTTTTAATCCCCAAAAACCCTCCACCTCAGCTAACGGGTGCTCAATGGAGTCGGCCGTTCAAGGAGTTTGTGGAGTTGTGCTTGAATAAAGATCCTAATAATGTAAGTTGATCTAAAATTTTGTGATTTTTTTGGTTTTTAGGTATGAGATTGGATAAAAGAATGGGGTGAAAAGAGATAATTCGTATTTTAAAAGCGATTTGAATTTGTTTTGAGTCGAATTTTTTCGGTTTTGGAAGTCTTTATAGATTTTGTTACCTAAATTTTGGAATTTCTCAAAATTCTCTCGTTTTCTCCATGGAGTTGGGAGTTTTTCGGCCTATTTTACCTTCAAAATTTATTTTAGCGTCCCTCAGCGCGCGAGCTCCTCAAGCATCCGTTCGTTCGTCGCGCCAAAAAGGCCAATCTTCTGATTGACGTGATCGAGCGAACGGCGGAATACAAATCTCGGCAAATCCCGTCGTCGGACTCGGACCAAGACGACGACAACGACTCCACCGGCTCCGCCGACCAATGGGAATACCCCACCGTCCGCAACTCCACCCTTGTTGTGCATTCGAACAGCCGAACTTCGATTAATGGTGCTAGAAATGGCGGCGTTAATCGAGACGCCAATACGGCTTCAACTCAGCATTCGACGACGAGCCTAGGCAGCACTGGATATGAGGAGGAAGAGGATGATGAAGACGATTATTCGCCAAATGGAACGATTGTTAACAATGGCCGCAACAAACAGATCCGAGAGGTCGCACAGCAGCTGAAACAAACGGTGATAAAGTGAGTTTTTAGTTTTCAAATTTTTGAGTTTGATGTTTAGTACGGACCCTCAGCCTTCCTACAGTCAGAGCCAACCTCAACGAGGCAATCACTCAACCACAATTGCCCTAAATGGATCTCCTCAGCCGAGTCCGGTAGGTGAAGGTCTAGTGCAATATAAAAATGTCCAGTTTTTGATGAAGACCTTGAGAATAGGTCGAAAGACTTATGGGATGTGTAGAATAGAGAGTAATGGAGCATTTACAGCGTCAGTCGAGCCAAGAATACGCCAATGGGCATAGCAAACGACCAACAACTTCCACCAGCTATAATGAGGACCAGGCCTACAGAACGCGCCTCAGCCACTCCAGCTCGCAAGTCTCGGCTCGAAGTGGAGCATCCGTGGTGACCGTGGGAGGAGAACCATCGAATCCCTACCCTCAACCGCAAGAACGAAGGCCATTGCAGTCGTTCGGACAACAAGTTCAAGTCAGGTAAAAATTGACAATTTTTTGGGTAAAAATTTGATTTTTGAAGTTTTAATAGTAATTTTAGTGGGGTTTTATTGTGAGGTTTGAGTGGAATATGATGCACAGAGGAGAATCAAGGTTTTTTAGAGTTATGGTTAGGGAAAAAATTGAGATTTTTTGGCGTTTTTTGGGGTCTGAGTTGGACGATTGGGGAAAAAGACGATTTGGAAACGAAAAGTATGATTTTTCTTCGATGCAAGTGTGAAATTAGGATAATCGAGAGCGCTGATTTTGAAAATGACATTCATTTTTTTTGGTCTTTACTTTTTTCCTTAAGTAGTACTGTAAAGTAGTAATTTTTTGAATTTTTTTCATAAATACTCGATTTAGGGTGTTTCGATGGTGCTGATTTCAAAAAACTTATTCATTTTTTTTTCTTTTTTGATTTGAAAGCAGCACCATTGAAAACCCCCAAATCGAGTATTTATGAAAAGAAATCAATAAAATTACTACTTTATAGTACTAGTTAAGGATAAAAAGTAAAGATCAAAAAAAAAATGAATGTCATTTTCGAAATCAACAACCTCGCTTATCCTAATTTTGACACTTGCATCGAAAAAAATAATTCTGTTTGGTTTCCCCAATCTTCTTTTTTCCCCAATCGTCCAACTCCGACCCCAAAAAACGCCAAAAAAATCTCAATTTTTTCCTTAAACATAATTCTGAAAAACCTTGATTCAACTCTGTGCATCATATTCTACTCCAATCTCACAATAAATCCCACTAAAAATTGTCAAAAATCGACAATTTTTTTGAAAAAATTTCTTTTTGGGATTTTTTGATCTCAAATTTTTGAGGCTTGATTTGACGACTGTAGTAACTTGAAGATGCTGTTTTCAGATCATCAGAGCCTCAACTACATCAATCCCACTCGAATGGAACGACCAGCTCGAGCGCCTCGTCCCACTACGCATCCCCCGCGGACTGGTCCACCCTTCAACAAACCCCTTCAATACCACAACACCAAAAGCCCCAGCCCAAGGTGAATCAGCCCCGAGGATCCCTGATCTGCACTCTACTCCCTGCACTGGACAAATTGAGCCGAACCCGACACGGAAACGCGGACTTGAACGGCGTCGCGACGGCCCTGCGCCGCGCGGAAATGGCCTCTCCCGGCTTCTGCGACCACTTTGTCACCGAACTGATCACCCTTCTGGCCCACCCGCAGACCAGCAACACCGACCTCCGACACGCCATCGATCGCCTGACCACCGGACACTAACTAACAGCCGGTTTTTTATAAGAACTTATACTAGGGTCATGGAGAATATCGGACGTCGGTTTCGACCGAATTCCCACCCCCAAACCTGCGGTAAAGAGTTTTCTGATGATGTTTGTGGCATGGACAGTATTATTGTAGAGTTTTTTGTCTCCATATAACGTCTGGTACACCCAAAAATATCAAAGATTTTAACCTAGAGCAATATCCGAATGTTGTGTGCAAAGTTTTTTTTTAGGTATGTAAATGTTCAAGTTTTTTGTTGTAAATTGTCTCTTGGGCCTCTTCATTCCTTGTTAGCGTTGTAATCTTACACCTTCTCAATGTTGCTGTCATGATGACGGATTTTTTGGAAGTCCCAAAAATTCCCGATTTTCCACGAAAAAGTCGGTGATTTTGGGAAAGCGGAGAATGATACGGGAAGAATATGAGGTCCTCGCAAGTTTCCTGTGGCATTCGGCGTCGCTCTGCATGCTCTGGACGATGTCACGATGACACATTTAATACGTCATCATGACACCCCAAAGCCATCTTCTCTTGGTGCTTTACTTACCCCCACTTAATTATTTATTGTTATAAATAAAGTTTGAACACTGAAAGACGAATTCTTTATTCCTTTTTTTTTGATGTTATATTACACATGATCGTATATTACACTGAAAAATTTTCAACCGAAATTCTTTGGCATCCCGATGTAGTAGAACCAGTAGAACACGTTGAAGGCCATGAAAAGGAGGGGAAATAGTTTGGCGGAGATCTGAAAATGAGATTTTGAAATTTTTTGGAATTAAAATTTTTTGAATTTTTTTTTTTTTTTTTTTGGCAAAAAAGGTGAATTACAACAAATGCTTGTTTTGGTAGTTGTTTTTTTCCCCCACCAACCTCATCAATCCGCTCCCCGTTGATGTAATTTTGCTGCTCCTCCGGCATTTTGTAGGCGGGGGTCTTGCCATTGGCCTTTGCGCGCGTCGGCTCGCCGCTGGAATGGTTGATGGTGTTGGCGCGATAGAGTCGTTGACGCTCCATCTGAGGTGGCCCGCCGATTGAGGCGGTCTGATTCGAATTCGAATCCAAATCATCCACCGAAGCGGAGTCTGAAGGGTTTTTCATCAATTTTTGATGGATAAGACAATTTAAACTCGATTTTGCACTACATATTGATGGTGTGTGCAGGTAAAATGGGTCTCAACTTACACTGTATTCGTCCCTCTGTATAATAGAGGGTTTGGCTGTGGTTCCGGGCTTGCCCGAACTTGATACGCTCGCTTTCCGTCCGCAAAAGACTCTGCTCACGGGCCCGTTGCTGCCGACGCCGCCTGGCTTCGACTTTGTCCGCGAATCCGACAATTGCGAGCTGGAAATGAAAGATCGTTTTAGTGGCTTTAATTTAAGCCGCTAATCTTTACATATACTTTTTAAATTAAAGCGATAAACCCGACTTACTTCCACCAAGCTCAAAAAAATGAACCCCATGCAACCGAACATCCAGATGTCCAATGCCTGGAAATTTTGGTGTAAAAACATTATAAATAGTTTCGTTTTACCTTGACATAGCTGACTCTGGGCAGGTTCTTCACAATGTTGCCTAATTGAAAGGATAAAGCCATCAGACTGGAGACGCCCAATGTTATGCGTGCCGGCAGCGCCTTGGTGTCGATCCAGAAGGCGATCCAGCTGATAAAAACTGCTAGATAGGTGGGAAGGAAGGCCTGAAAATGGGTAAAATTTAATTTTGACCTGAATTTGGGGGTGTTTTTGAGCGAGAGAAAGACTTGACTCGAATGGGAAACACTTGACCCATTCGAGTCAAGTGTTTCTCTCAGTCAGAAAAGGTCGCATAGTGACCATAGGCGGTTGAAATATAGTTTTAGAAGGTTTGTTTTATATTTTTTTGTTAAGAAAATGGATTTTTTCCCACTTTTCGGACAAAATTTATATTATCCATGACCCACCTGAAGAACATAAAACCCGTAGAGTCGGCGGAACTTGAACACCACCTCCAGCTGATCCCACAGACCCGCCGTGTAGACCAGCGTCTGGTGCGCGTGCTCGAACGAGATGAGCTCGAAATCGGGCAGTTTTTTGGACGAGGGATCGGGAATCGAAACCGCCTCCCAATCCCGCCAAACTATCCGCACTTCCGCCGTGTTGTATGAGTAGCTCTGAAAAAAGAGTAGCGTAAATTTATGTGGATGGTCCTGAGAGACAGTTTTGGGCTGGCGAAGGCTTACCTCGAAGATCAAACTGCATTGTTGAAGGTCCATTGGGAAATAGGTCTGAAAATGGGGATAAATATTAGTATGACCGTGCCGTTTTTTTGTTGTGCATTTTTTTACAGATAGAATTAAAGTTTTGGTGCATCTGTTAATATCGCCTGAAAGAACGTTGAAAACGCTGTCTAGTGATATATGCTTCGTGCGGTTAGGTTTATCATAGCGGTTTTTATAAAGCTTCAAAGATGGCCAACTTTCGTGCCAGAAAAATCCCATAAAGTTGAAGAAAAAGGTCCCCGGAGTTTGATGAAACTTGTTGAAAATGGGGGAAATTGAGGTTAGTCAACCAATCACAAGCCCGCGATGGACGATTCCAAGGCGCGACGAATCCACATTTTTTTCCCGACAGACTGATACAGCCAATTTTTCCGGCCTGCGCCCTAGCATTGCTGAAAATCATAGGGCGCAGCTCGGAGAACTTTCACGGGCGCAGCTCGCGTCTTGGGCGCAGCTCGAAAAGAAACTGAAAAGCTCCGGCGAGCTGCAAAAGCTTTTTTTCCGAGCTGCCCCCGAGATGCGAGCTGCGCCCTGTGATTTTCAGCAATGCTAGGGCGCAGGTCGGATAAAAATAGACTGTATCAGCCCGTCGGGAAAATAATGTGATTTTGTCGGGAAAATAATGTGGATTTGCCGGGAAAATAATGTCGATATGCCGGGAAAATAAGCAAACTTTGCAGATAACGCATTGGCTCCAGGCTTATACTCTGTTCGATATATACGGACCAGATTCAGCCGGTCGGGAAAATAATGTGGGTTCGTCGCACGTCAAACTGAGATAAGCTAAAACAGTCCGGTGAATGGATTGGCAATTTGCGAAAAAAAGACTCGAAAAAACGTTTTGTCGAGGAAGAAATGGGGAATTTTTGGGGCGAGAGAGTACGCTTTTGCGTGTCTTTTTTCTCTCTTTCTCTGCGAAATCAAGACGAAGTGTAAAAAACCAATAGCGAAAGGTCTATTCCGGTCACCGGACTCCTCAGTTTGACGTGCGTCGCGCCTTGGAATCATTCTCGGCTCACAACTCACCAAGTCCAGTCGACACGGTCCACTGATGCTGACCCGAAAATTCAGCCAAATTGTCCCATTCGGAAAGGCCAAAAGCAAAATATTTTGCGACGGCGACGCATGAATGTCCACCTTTTTGCTGTTCACAAAACACACGTTCGGCGTCCAGAGTTGCGGCAGCTTGTGCGCCGACAACGACAGGTTGGTCAGGCAGTAGTTGAAGCCGGTGAAGTCCAGGCGGGGATCGCGCCAGATCTGCGAGAACCACACGTCCGCCTTGAAGGAGGAGGAGAACTCGGTGATCTCGGTGATGCTCTGCACGGTCAGCTCGACCACCACGGAGGTGGCGTCCGTCGACGGAAGCGTGTCCTTGTCGTAGTCGTCGTTGAAGAGACTCTGAAATTTGGGAACTGTTTTTTCTAGGATTTGTCCTAAATATGAGGGATTTCTAGAGTGGCAGACCTGATCCAGTGGCAAAAAACGTATCATTCTGCATCCGGGAAGTACCAAAAAATGTGGCAAAATACCTCTCTCTCCAAGTGAAAAAAACTCTGAATTCAAAAGCTCATTTTTTGAGGGAAAGGATTCCCTTGAAAAACGAAGTTTTTTCGCTTGGAGAGTGAGGTATTTTGCCACATTTTTTGATAACGCTTTTTTGCCACTGGATCAGGTCCGTCACTGTAGATGGCGCTTAGCAAATAAAACGAGATTTCGTTTTTTAACTGGAGAAGGGGGCATTTTGCCACATTTTTTGATACAATAAACGTACCATTTTGCATCCGGGAAGTATCAAACAGTATGGCAGAAATGCCTCCCTTTCCAAGCAGCTTTTGAAATTGGAGTTTTTTTTTCATTTGGATAGGGAGGCATTTTGCCACATTTTTTGATACCTCCCGGATGCAAAATGGTACGTTTTTTGCCACTGCATCAGGTCCGTCACTGTATAACTGATAATTTAGTTGAGAATTCCTTGGTTAGCCTAGCTTTTCCCACCTGAATCAGATGTTTCCTGAGCGTCTCGTTGATGGGTATACAGTCGCCGCCCGGCTGCAGACTGCTCTCCATTTTGGGCGGGGGCAATTTGGGTCTGTGTGTGATATGTCGATGGGCGGCGTCGCCGTACCCGAGCACATCGGCCAGTGGGTCGCCGAACGGCTGGACCACCACGCCCGCCGGGCGTTCCGCCGGCTCCGCGTCGCCGCCACGATGCCGATGAGGCAGCGGGGGGTCGTGGCGGGTGTGCTTGGACTGCGCTTCCTGCAGCTGCGCCAGCTGCTCCAGGTGGTTGGCGTCGGAGGGCGTGAGTTCGGGGAGCAGGAGCATCAAGCGGGCCAGATATGTGATGATCATCACCGATGCATGTCTGAAGAAAGAAGTCAAAATTTAACGAATTTCAGAGGGTAAAACGACAAAACTTTTGCAGCGAAAAATTCGTTGAGGCTTTCAAGGGAGTTGGCAAAAAATCCGATTACAAATTTTCAAGTCATTTCCGAAATTTTTAGCTCGCAATTTACACGAATAGTTGAGATTTTTATCAGTCTGTCGGGAAAATAATGTGGATTTGTTGCAGAAAAGTGTCTCGCCTCGTCGCAACAAATCTCCGTTAGCCGTCGCAACACGATGATGGTCGATTCCAAGACGCGACAAATCCACATTATTTTCCCGACAGACTGATAGGCCCCGAATTGCCGAAAAATTTGTAAAGTTTTGCATATGCCTTCAAAAATGCAACTCTAAATTTACGCTAATACGATAAAATCGCAGTTTTTTCTCAGTCTGTCGGGAAAATAATGTGGATAAAGTGAACCGCCGAAGCTCCAGCTAACCATTGCAAAGCTATAATCGGCGATTTCAACGCGCCGACAAATCCACATTATTTTCCCGACAAACTCGTACTGCCGCCAAAATCACTCCAGCGACTTTGCGAACCGACCAGTATCATTCTGTCGGGGAAATAATGTGGACTCGTCGCGCGTTTAAAATCGCTCATCGCTTTGCAACGGCTGGCTGAGCCGTTGCAATTCGGCCAGTAACTTTATCTACATTATTTTCCCGACAGACTGAGAAAAAACTGTGATTTTATCCATTAGATTTGGGCCTTTAAGTCTGTCGGGAAAATAATGTGGATTCGTCGCGCGTTTGAAATCGCCAATCATCGTGTTGCGAGGGCTAACTAGAGATTCGTTGCGACGAGGCGAAGACATTTTTTTGCAACAAATCCACATTATTTTCCCGACAGACTGATAAAAAAAAGATTTATCGCTATCGACGCACATATTTTTATTCTTATGAAACACGACGCAAATTTCGAGTTGCATTCTTGAAGGGATATTCAAAACTATATTTTTTGGCAGTTCTGGCCTATCAGTCTGTCGGGAAAATAATGTGGATTTTTCGCGCTTTGAAATCGACCATCATTGCTTTACGACGGCTGGCGATTTAGTTCTCTTTTGCAACGACGCGAGACCTTTGCTGTGAAAAATCGTCATTATTTTCCCGACAGACTGATATTAGTCCCTTTGAAAAGCCGCTGGAGTGAAATTCGCGACATGCATTGAACAAAAAAAGAGTGCAAAAACGATGACTTTTCGGTGCAAAACTTACTGTAACGCGAGAATTGTTATAAACAACCGGACTCAGCGAGGCCCAACGCCCACCTTCAGCGTCTCATTTCCCAACCGCAAGAAAAAAAACGATTCGCGCGAAAAAGCGTGGAGCCTGAAAATAAAGCCAAGTTTACGAATTAGACATGTCCCACACAGCGAGCCCCCCGGTGCTTCGCGCAAACTGCCAAAACCATGCCCTGCGGGCAGCGAGAAGAAAAATTGAAACCCCCCGTCCACCAGCACGGACATAATGGTGGAAATGGGGCCGCAAACGAGCGCCCGCGAACAGATAAAACAGGCATAAAACATGGCGATTATGGGCTGGGAAGGGGGGCTGTCATAGAGCCTGAACTCTCCCCCTTTTTGAACACTCCCCCATTTTGAAAATTGAAAAAACGAGGTGTGACATGTTATACGATGAAATTTTTTTTTTTCAAATTGAAAAAACGAGGTGTGACATGTTATACGATGAATTTTTTTTTTTCAAATTGAAAAAACGAGGTGTGACATGTTATACGATGAAATTTTTTTTTTCAAATTGAAAAAACGAGGTGTGACATGTTATACGATGAAATTTTTTTTTTCAAATTGAGAAAAATGAGGTTTTTTTCGCAGTGCCGAAAGAGTTCCGGAGGCTCTCGGGGTTGCCGTGCATCTCGTATCGATCGATTTTATGGTGATCCGACCTCGTCCACTCCAAAAGTTCGAACGCAAACTCTTGAACTCGACGTCGCACGTCAAACTGAGATAAGCTAAAGCAGTCCGGTGAATGGATTGGCAATTTGCCAAAAAAAGACGCGAAAAAACGCTTTGTCGGGGGAGAAATGGGGAATTTTTGGGGCGAGAGAGTACGTTTTTGCGCGTATTTTATATCTCTTTCTCTCCAAAATAGAAGAAATGTAAAAAACCGATAGCGAAGAGTCTATTCCGGTCACCGGACTCCTCAGTTTGAACTTTAAAATTTGGGCAAGTTCAAATCCATTGAACTTATCAAGTTGTGCCAGATACAAGCGCAAACTTCTTGCCCTTTGAAGGGCGATAACATTCATATGTAGGCAGGCAAATAACTCAATAACTCATGGAATTTCCCATAGGTTGAGCATCAAAAAACGAAAAAGTATGATGCTCATAAGGCACAGACGATTCGGTCATCAAGGTCTCGGTTGAATGAAAAATGAGCAAAAAACAAGTAGACGCCATGAGTGAAAATGATGAAAATAACGGCATATCAGTCTGTCGGGAAAATAATGTCTGGAAACGCTCTTTAGGGCAAGAGGAACTATGGGAAGGTTCGGTGAGAGAAAAAATTGAGGCTCTGGCAGGAGGAGAACACAAAAAAATCGAAAAATATCAGTCTGTCGGGAAAATAATGAGCACTCTTTAGGGAAAGAGGAGCTCCGGGAAAAGTAGTAAATAGATTCGGTGAGAGAAAAAATAAAGGCTCGGGCAAGAGGGGACCACAAAAAAATCAAGTCTGTCGGGAAAATAATGAGCGCTCTTTAGGGAAAGGAGGGACTGCGGGGAAAGTGTTATAGGTTCGGTGAGGAAAAAATAACGGCCTGGGCAAGAGAGGACCGACCAAATCTTTTTGCAAAAAAAAAGATTTGGTGACGTTTGAGAGCATTTTTTTGTCTTTTTTTAGAACTTCCGTTGTTCTCAGCTTCCGCGACACCAGATCTCTGTAAAGAATCCAATTTTTCGAAGCGAAATTCTCCAAGAAACAGCTGAAAAAAAACGTTTTTCGGCTCTCATAATTTTCCAAATCGCATAACATCTCCGTTTCGGCTGGCAATAGCTAACTAAAATTTTCAGGCCGTAATTTCTGGATTACTTACAGGGGGAGTACTTCAAGTGCGACGCTCAGATTTTCTTTAAATTTTGCACACACGTCGGGTAAGGACCAAATATCAATCGAACGATCTTTGCCGCCGAGAGAGCACCCTCAACGGGGAGAGAGGTCAGAGAGAAAAACGTTTTTTGGCCATAACTTTGGCAATTTCGTGCGGAAAAATTTGATTTTTTGTAGAAACATTATCCTTTACGGTAGAAAGAGGCATGAAAGTTTTCGTGCCGAAATTCGGCAAAAAGTCCTAAATTTTGACCGACTTTCAATCTAAAAATCTCGGTTGTTTCTGCAAAGCGCGAGCTAGGATTCTCGCATATATCTTAGAAAAAGTTATTCTAAATTTGTGCCAAGTTTCATCAAAATCTGAGCGTCGCACTTGGAGTACTTCCTCTGTTAGAAAATATGGCCAAACTTTGAAGAAAATCGAAGAATGCCACATTGAGAAAATTAGTAATGAAAAAGGGCCCTATATAATCGCGGAAAAAAGTCCTGGGAACTTTCTGCAACTCTGCATTGTGCATTTTGCGCGATAATTCGAAAACCCCATATTGCACCGTGCATAGGCTCAAAAAGTGTGTTTGCACAGTGCAATTTCGTTTTATTGCACTTTGCTTTTTTGCGCGATTTCCCTTTTTCCGAGCGACAATTCAACACGACGTAGGACAATTGTGAGAAAATTGGGGGGCCGCGAGAAATTCCCAGGGCTTTTTGCGGCGTGTTACTTGATGAAAATTTTGTCTAAAACAAGGCAAACACCGATTTTTTACATCAAAACTGACTATAATATCAATCTGTCGGGAAAATAATGAGCACTCTGTCGCTGAGAAAATCGCATCGCTGGAGTGAAAGGCAATTTTATTCTGCGATAAAAGACCGAAAAAATGTCTACACACTTTATGAAAATATAATAGTAATATCAGTCTGTCGGGAAAACAATGAGCGTAATCGCTGAAGTGAAGTGAAACGAAATTCGATTTTTTGTCGCGATACAGTTCATTTTCTCGACGGCGATTTTTGATGCAACAGAGTGCTCATTATTTTCCCGACAGACTGATAAAACCACAATAAAACGCAATTTTTCAACGTCAAAATTAACTAAAGCTCGGGGCAAAAATCCTGAAAAATTTGTCGCATCCTCAGGACCTTTTGTCCCAAGCAGTATCAGTCTGTCCTGAAAATAACGAGCACTCCGTCGCTGAGAAAATCGGATCGCAGAAGTGAAAAGCAACTTTATTCCGCGATAAAAGACCGAAAAAATGTCTACGCACTTTATGAAAATAGTAATATCAGTCTGTCGGGAAAATAATGAGCACTTTTTCGCTGCATCAATCACGTCGCTGGAGTGAAAAGCAACTTTATTCCGCGATAAAAGACCGAAAAAATGTCTACACACTTTATGAAAATAGTAATATCAGTCTGTCGGGAAAATAATGAGCACTCTGTCGCTGAGAAAATCGCATCGCTGGAGTGAAAAGCAACTTTATTTCGCAATAAAAGACCGAAAAAATGTCTACGCACTTTATGAAAATAGTAATATCAGTCTGTCGGGAAAATAATGAGCACTTTGTCGCTGCGCCAATAGCGTCGCTGAAGAGCCAAGAAACCCGATTTTGTCCCGATACAATTTATTTTTTCGGCGGCGATTTTCGCTGCAACAGAATGCTCATTATTTTCCCGACAGACAGATATTACAGTTCTCTTGTCGCACTCGACCTTCCTTGACCGCGTGATCCTCTCTCATTGACCTTTCGGCGACTTTTTTCGACCTTAAAACCGCCAAATTTTCGGCGGCCCGCAAACCCGCTGAACTCGATGTTCGGGAAGGAGTGCGAAAAAAAGACGTACGGAAAAAAGGAGGATAATTTGAGGGACCGGGGCGAAATTTTTGCGGCCACCGA